ACAGGCCCATTTATCTCTCTCAATGGATTCCCAAAATTCAAGACATCCAGCGGTAGCACACCTTTCCGGCCTCTCTATAAATCCCCCACCCCCCTCTTCTCTCTCTCTCTCTCTCTCTCTCAATCTCCCCAAAGCCCTAACCCTAATTCTGTGCAATATCTCCGCTCGATTCACTATTCGTAATCGAATTTCTGCCCTCCAATAACCGGTAACCTTCCGTTTCCAAAGCCTCTGTAATGTTGTGTTGATTTGTGCAAGGTTTTGCAGCTTCCAGCTGAAGTTTTAGATGCATTATCCCTTTGGTTTCTGAGAAAAATTGAAGGAAAGCAATTTGATTTTTCCATGCGTTAGTTTTGGTTGCGATTGAGGGCTTAAAATTTGAGTCTTTGGATTCGATTTAGGTATTTTTAGGGTTTTTTATTGAACGAATAATAAATTTGATATTTTATTTTGATTTCTGTTTCTGATTTTTGTAACTTTCTTAGTACCCAAGCAGTATTATTGTTGTATTTTCATCTTCGGTTATAAAATTAACTTTTTCATGATTGTTTGGGTTTATTATCGCATATAGTGTTTATTTTCATGCCTTTCTGTCGATTTAGATGTGTGAACTTATTTTTCGGTTTTTCTGCAGATGGCGACGAAACCACTTACAACTGAAGCAATTGCTCTTACAGAGAAGAAGATGGACATGACATTGGGTATGCTTTCGTACTCCCGCTAGTCGATTTAAGATAATTGTGCATTTTTTTTCAACCCTTTCGTGTTAACCTGTGGTGATGTTTGATGATGTAGAGGATATCATTAAAATGTCGAAAGTTGCTCCCAAGGGTAAGAACCAGCGGAGAGCTTCGGTAAGTTTCTTTCTCTTACTCTTTCCTATTTTAAAAAAAGAAAGAAAACTTATTTCTTAAATATTCTTGTAGAACAAATTGTTGAGTAGTATCAAATTTCTCCGTGCAGAATAAATCTCAGAATTTTGCAAAGGTTGCTGCTCAAGATAAACCAACAAAGCTGCGGCGCTTTATGGACTCAAGATCTTCCATTAGACAGGTAAGGATGATATTTCAAAGTTGATTTCTCATAATTTTTTGGATTATGATGTGCAATGTCACTAATGTTTTTGTTTCTTCATTTGATTCTATTATGGTAACCAGGGGGTTCTAGCTCAGAGAAGGTCAAATTTTCAGAGAAACCAATTCCCCATAGCAGCTGAGGCTGCGCGAAAGGCAGCAGTTGCTCCTCCTCGCAATAGAGCTTTTAATCGTAACCGGGTGCCCAACTGGAAACCAAGGTATGCTTTTAATTACCTTCTAGCTTTTGAGTATGAAAATTCTTATTGGTTTTTAGTTCTTAAGTCTTGGTAGGTCCCCATAATTTGTACCTAATGTTATTATTTGATTTTGAATATACCACAGGTAAATATTGGTGCTTCTATTATTAGTGATGACCTTCTGCCATTTGCCTCGGATAAAACATTTCAACTCCCATTATTTTGGAACTCCTGCATATGTTTTGTTGATTCAGCAAGCAGTCATTTTGGGAGTGTGTCAACTTGTTGATTGTTTCTGTAGATGCCATCGACAATAGTATATCTGCATTATAAATTCTGTGCTTCTGATCTGCAAAGTTTGCCATATGTTGAGTGGTCCATCTCTTATGATAAAGGGATATTCTTACAACTGGAGAAGTGTGGGGTTAAGTTGAATGTTCAGTAATGGGATCACAAGACTTGGATAGCGATAAGGTTTGCAGGAGATGGAAAAAATTCAACTCAGTTTGTGTACTTGATGTGTGTAGTATGTAGTGCGGGCATTATGCAACATATTTTACGGGATGTACTGACTGCCGAGGACTACTAACCGTTGTGCATTCTAAGTTGCTCAATGCTTGCTAGGATTAACTTGTTTACATGTTATTCTATGTCAAGTCGGTGTTCTGTAGTTTCCTTTACGGGTCTGGAAGTTGACACACATTCCTTGGTTTTGAATTGAAGTTATCACTTTGTCCAGTTTTTCAGTTCATGCTGAATGTGCTGGCTTTCCTGCAAGCTTGTGAGTCACTAGTCCTCGGGATGTGATAAGTCCTGCTATCCAACCCATTTTCCTTTAATCTCTTCAGTTCTTGGCCTTGCAAATAAGTATTAAAAGATGTTGATGATCCGGGAGGCAATTGTTGAGGGCTCAGTTTCATTGTTGTGAGACAGGGGATTCAGGAGGCTTCTGATTGATGGAAACTTTCACTGTTTCTAGTTTATGCTGACTTATACTTCACTGCGCTCTTTGTTTCCCCTGGTTTCTTGACGTCTAAGTGGATTATTGAGTCTCATCTACTTTAACGTGCCATGGGCTGGAATTAAAATGGATAGTTGTGGAACCAAGCATCACTTCCAGATTACAAATGAAAAACTAAGCAAAAGTTGTGTTTGAGGTTTTTTCTGTATAGAAGTTTTGTTGCTTTGGTTGAAGCTGTGTTGGTCCTGTAGCATGCTTTGTGGTATACAAGTAGTTCAAGAACCCATAACTTGTCTCGAGTAGGCCTTCCATTCACGACGTGTTTTCCTGCTTAAGCAGGGATGGGAAGTTCCTTGGGGAAGAAATTTTGTTCATTTGACTGAATGGACTGTTCATTTAAATGATTGGAAGACGGAACCTTCTGTTGTGATTTCACCTATTCTGCTTCATGTGAAGGTCTTTTCTTGAGTGTTTCTGTGGATAATATGTTTGCTTGGTGAGGCTCGAATTCAGATTATGGTTTGGTTAGAGAGACCTTCCGCAGATTAAGATGGAGTCACACTGCTGAGAAAACATCATAATTTCCTACGACTGTTTTGTCGTCTAATGGTTTGTCTTGTTAATTGGATTTATTTAGAATTACAATGGTAAGGCACTTTAACCTCTCATCCAGGCGAATGCATATCTACTCGTGATCCTCTTGCAATTACATGGTGTTGATATAGGCATAGTAATAGCTATCCTCTCTGTTGTCAAAGTTTGCTTGCTGAAGGCACAAGGTATTTAATTCCTCAAGCATTGTTTTTCCATTTCTGGATGCAGGGCTGGTGCACCATTTGATCAAAGAAGGGTTGCAAATGTTGGCTTTGGTAACAAGGTATTATTATTCTTCATTTTGACCTCTGTTATTCTTTCCCATTTGACATGCCTGAGTATTAGTGGGTTTTGTAGTAAACGATTGGCTTTCCTTTGTCAAGTTTGTCTTTCCATCAATGCGGTTGGAGTCATGGCTTCGGGATTCTTTAGTGTATAAGTTCATAGTGTACAGTTCTGTTACTACTGTGGCTTTGGGATTCTTTGGTGTATAAACACACTATTCTGTTTATTTAGAACTGTGCTTTGGGATTCTTTGGTGTATTGTAGAGTCCCGTACATGTATGGCATTGGTTGATGGTTGATCATCCGCTAGAAATGGCTTTTAACTTGTATTATTAGTGGTGGTCTGCGTCAGAACTGCTACGTGAAATCATGTTTAATGTCCCGTCTTATGAAGTCTCTATTTTTTGTCAGCTACCACTGCCGCAGCAGCAGCAGCATCAGCACCCTCGGCAGCAAGAGAATGCACTTCCTAAGCAGAGGCCTCAAACACTCGATTTGCTGTTTGCAAACATGAAGGAGCAGAGGATGAGAGCGCAACCACGCCAGAACAATGGCGTACCACGCACCAATAGGGGTGGCCAGCAGAGGCCCCCTTGGGGAAGAGGCGGACGGTTTGGCAACTAATTCATCATACGCAAAAAATGCCCTGCTGGAAAGGGGTTCTATTCTTGGTGAAAGGAAGAAGGCAAAGTGCTAGAATTGATGTCTACGTCTGGATGCAAGTGTGTAGATGATATGCAGAATGTATCGTAGCTGACCGACTTTTGTCACCTTCATTTTTTCTGTTTTTACGCGACTTTGCAACACTCAGGGTTTTCATTTCGTTTCATTCGCAATCAAAATTGTGTGTATACTAGTGGTCTCTTCTGTTGTGAACTAGCAATCCATGCTTTCAAATATATCATTGTTTCTTGATATCGTCAGGTATTTTTACGATATCTGGCCGGATCATTTAAAATCGTTCGATTTCTGATCAAGTCAAATTCTTAATTGGTATATGATTTCATCATTCGCCATGCGTCCAGTTAAATAATATTGCTCTACAGTGCTTGATCTTCCGTCATCGTTCATCCATCCAATGTCCAAACGCGTATTTAGGGAGACGCTATTGAAAAACTAGATCTTTCTAAGCTTAATTATAACAAATGAAAACGCAACAACTCAACTCATTTGTTTACAATATGATAAGACAATGTTGAAATCTTGTGTCAAGCTGTGTTGTCGCTTGGTACTGTTGAGTGGGAGAATAATTCAATCAACACATGACTTAAACTCAAAATTATCATTAACTTTGGGACTATGTACCATCATTAAGTTTTTCTACTCAAACATTGTCACGTAACAAGAACAATCTCACACAAGTTTTTTCTGTATCACACAAGTTTTCTTGGTATAAGGAAGAGTTACGTATTGGTTTCTCAGCATTTGTGAGGAGACAACCACTAGCTTCAAAGCTTAAATCATCAGAGAATATGCTAACAATGTATTTCAAGCTTACACATTTTGTCATGTATCATGTTATGCATTAAGATGCAAATGAATAGGGATGAAGACATAAGAAACTTTTAACCAATTAAGTTACAAATTGCTTACTTGTGTAATTTTCTTTCAAATGTTGGACCTATTCTTCCGATGGCTGAATATTGGATCCGTATGCTAGTGATCTTCACATCTCAACCGTTTATCGTATATCGTACGATTAGTTTTCATCATGTACTATTTATGTTTAATTTTAAATAATAAAAGTCAAATAATTTATATCCACGATGAACGGCTGAGATGTGAGGATTCTTAGGATCCCCACATAATGGATCCGGAGAGATCCATTTCCGAATATTTCCTCATGCTGCGTTACTAAAACTTCCATACCTGTCGCTCGTCTTGTCCCAACTCCTAACTTGCAACAACCACCTCTCGTTCCTCATCTTTTATCACCACAAACCCCCATTGCCCATACACACACAGAGAGATTAGAGATAGATAGAGACCTCCACCATTACAGACTATACCTCTGTTCTCCACGCTTAATGCTTCGAACCCATCTCACATATGACTCTAATAAACCTCAGCTCCCTCTCCCCATGGCTCTCCCGCCTCTCTCACCACCCTTCTCCGCCCCTTCCCATCTTTCCCACCACCACTTTTTTGTTCAGAAATATTCAATCCACTTCCATCAACTTCTCAAAGCTCCTCAGAGTAAAAGCCTCATTGGGGGAGACCCAAAACGGCAGTGGGTTGGCAGAGGACTCTGTTTCTGAGCTGTTGGACGCTGAGTTGCTTGGAAGAGTATCGGGTACTAAAGATGCCCAGGAAGCACTCCAGCTGATCGCTGAAATGCCTGACAGAAATGGTGGTGTTGTGAGTGTATCTGATTGCTGTGCTATTATATCGGCTGCCCTTAAGCGGAACAACCGCGACTTGGCTCTCTCTGTTTTCTATGAAATGCGTGCGAGTTTTGATCAAGGTATGGTTTTAGGCTCAATTGTTTTATATGATAACCCAGCATTTAAACTCAAAGATTTCAACTTTGGATGCAAAAAGGAAATGGGTTTGGCCATTAGTGTTCTTCTATGCAAAGTTTGCCTAGCTATTGCACACATATATGTACAATAGCACTCTAGCACTAACCGATTGGTAACTTAATACAGCACTAACCGCTTATTTTGGGTTAGCCCGACAGACAGTTTAATCTCATGATTCGAACCCTTCTTATTTTAGGGCCTCGTTCAAAAATCATCCTTGCAAAATTTCACTAAAACGTGTACCCATGTGATTGATTATTGCTATGAACATTTCATTGATTATCAACACCGTGCCTGTGTATTTATCTGTTTGTAGTTAGATAACTGAACGGTTTTTTATTTGAATGAGCTTTTTATGGATGATCTTTGAATGATGAAGTAAACAATGATCGGTTCAGTTCATGGAAAACATAATGGATAGGGTCTAGATGAGTGGTTAACACCATATTAACTTACTAACTCGTTAGGCTATTGTATGTGTTTGTTATAATTTTTTTTTTTTATGAATTTAATTTATTGACATCTGGTGTTTTTAGGAATTTACTGGGTGGGGAATTTATCTTGGGGCATTGAATTTGTTGCTCACTTGTTTTTGGGCAGGTGTTAATGAAGATGGCCCTCTTGTTGAGAGGTGGAAATGGTCCAGACCAGATGTGCGTGTTTACACATCATTGATTCTGGGTCTAGCTGCGTCACTTAGGGTTTCTGATGCCATGAGGATGATCAACAATGTTTGCCGAGTTGGAGTATCTCCTGCTGAGGAGGTAAAAGCAATTATTGTTTTGCTTCTGTCTTTCCACGTTTGGATTTGCTCCAAGCAATTAGAATTGCAACTTTTTAAGGAAACCAGAATTGCTAGCTTTAACTACCTCTCACTGGCTTATGTTGGCTGTGTTGGTTTTAATGTGTTGAGCTTTATACTTTGGACTCCTAAAATTGTTAGTCAGAAAGCATTGTATGCACCTTTTAGTCTTGTTTTCTTTTATTCACTTTTTCTTGGCCACGTGAAGACCATCACACTTGATTTGGTGTTTGCAGGTTCCATTTGGGAAGGTTGTTAGGTGTCCTAGCTGTATGATAGCTGTTGCTGTTGCACAACCACAGCATGGTATTCAGGTATCCTTGACAAAAATCTTTGAACCCATCTTCTGACGATTAATCCTACTCCCTTAGTTGGGATTTTTTGTTCGAAAAGCAGCTGCTGCTCATGCCAGTTAATGTTCAGGTAGTGTCGTGTGCAAAGTGCTGCTACCAATACGAACTTATTTCTGGCAACATAGCTAGCATTGAGTCGGAAGAAATCAGGTTGGAATTCTTATATGCTTTAAATTTAGCATTATCTATTGTCTATCTATGCTTGTGAACATGGCCAAAATCATTTGTACAGTAAGTAGTGTTATATATTGGGAATATACATCAAACTTATCACATTCTAATTCTATGTAAATCACACAGCTAATATGTGTGTGGTGTTGATCCTGGGATATTGAATTTTTCTAAGGATCTCCTCATGACGAACGCAGCATGGATGTTCCAGCTTGGAAAAGGGGACTAAGATTCCTGAACATAATGAAGCAAAGTATTCCTGCGGCTGTTCACTCCATTGTGGTATACTATACTCATTATGAATGTTCAATTTCCGATTTTAGATGCACAGCATTCCTGGACCATGTTGGATTATTGTCGATCATCATTTACCCTCTCTTTTTTCAGGTACAAACCCCATCTGGTATAGCTCGTACAAACAGGTTTGCTACTGAAACAGTTGATCTCCCAGCACAGGAAGGGGAAAGGGTAACAATTGCTCTAGCAGCTCCATCAAGTGTTTACAGAGAGGTCGGTCCCTTAAAATTTAGTCCTAAGGCACCAAATTTTTACCCTGGGGAGCCTATCTGCTTGACAAACCATGAAGATGGCCGGGAGTCAAAACTATTAAGAGCCCCCTTAAAGGATGGAGGATCGTTGCTAACTAACCCCTCCATACTTTTTCCAATTGTTGCTGTTTTGGCCTCTGGAAATGCCGCCTCTGGAGTTATAGACCCCACCTTCCCCCAATTCCTTCCAGTTGCTGCAGTAGCATCTCTTGCTGTTGGAGTTACTCTGAACACATTGGTTGTCCCCCAATTAAATCGTGTAAGCAGTAAGCTAGTTTTTTCTTCTATAATAACTGTAATAGGTGATTCCCAAATCACGTCCTCCCCTTTTCAAAAGGAAATGAAAAATAATTTTGCTCTTTAGATTTCAGTTTCCTCGCGACTAGTATCTGTTTCCTTCTTTGAGGATCTAACTTTTAAATTCTTAAGTTATTCTAGATGTTTTCGGGCAATGCAAGTAGTTTTGTTTGCTCAGTCTATATATTCTAGTCAAGAAAGTTTTGAACTGAGAAATGGATGTTGTTCTTATACTTGGTTGTTTTGTCAGCTTCCTCGGAGAATAGTGGATACAGTTGCCATCAAGCAGCAACTTTTATCGCAATATGACACACTCCAATCTCGTATAAGGGGCCTAAAAGAATCTGCTGAAAAAGAGGTAAGCTCCATGCTAGTTGTGGTTCTTTAGTAAAGTTTTCAAGTGAGTAGCTTTATGATCATAAAAAGGTAACCTAGTCTCCACAAATCTGAAGAAATATTTCAAAATAGTTGCTAAGAGAGGTATTCATCAATGATAGAAATTGTCATTCAACGATTTTGCGGCACCAATCAATTTTTGCACTTTTCTTTTCATGCATAAGTTAACAGAATGTATTGAAGATATAAGATAGATGATCACTTATTTCCTGTGCAGGTCTGGATGTTGGCTCGGATGTGCCAACTTGAGAACAAAATTGTTGCTGTAGGAGAGCCTTCTTATCGGTAAAACACTTCAACGTTATTGCTCTTCCTTTAAGCTATGCAGCGAATAGCAAGTTAGCTCGCCTGTGTGATAAATTTTTTTATCTGATGTAGTTCGCTACTCTGATACAATGTTCTTTTGTTTTTGTTAATATCTAGTGCTCGAAGAAGTAAAGTCAAAAGGGTCCGAGAAGGCTTGGAAAATTCTCTCAAGGGACGAATTGAACTTATTGACAGCTATGCAAGGGTATGATTCTTCTCTTTAGACACAACTTAACCACCCCTCTCTCCCCAAAATATGTTATCAACTAATATAGTCATGCCATCCACTTATCAGATTTCATCAATGATCGAAATTGAGGTAGAACTGGACTCCGATGTTCTTGCTGCTGAAGCAGCAAGCAATGCGGTAAGCTCAAACTGATTACATAGTTGTTCCTCTCCCTGTATATGCCTAACAAGCTAACGAGGGGGTCCTTGTTCACAGGAAAATATTGCTGAACAGATACAGCAAACCATGGAGCTAGAAAACCTTGAAGAGGCATCCCCTTTCACTTCGAATTCTCTCGTTTTCGTAACCTTGAGAACGAATATCGCATTCCTCTGATCCATGTTGTTTGTGTATCGATTGCTTTTCTCTGCAGAGATGGAGAATACAAGTTGAAGCAAATGATGAGGCAGAAAGACTTCTTAGTTCCCAACCGATGCCAACAGAACAGGTTTAGAATTTTTACTCCAAAAAAATGAAGCGAAATGATGAAGCAAACGGTAATATCATACCTCCGGGAAAGGAATCAATATTAAGCATGACTCCGGGAAAAGAAGATGGTCAGTTCAGCATGTAGGTGCTGCTTGTTCATGTCCTCCTGGAGATCGTCTTTGTGACACTGAGTAAATGTCGGTGTTCGATTTACGAAGGAATTTCATGTTAAGGGAGGATTAAGGCTAATGTTCATTACAAATTTCAAATTAATCACCACACTTGTAAGTGTTCAAAGAAAGAGCCCCCATTTGACATACATAAGAGTTTTCGTTTCTTCTTGTGAAGATTATGAATAAAGGTTCAGACATTCTTTCAATGTAATTGACGTATCGAAATATTGATCGCTGTTATTAGTTTTCGTCAATTCTGAAAGCAATCATAAAATTCGATTCTTTGTAAATAATTTGTTAAGTCAACAAATTTACATACAATAAGAGTAGACCCTACGAAAATCATGTTTACGGTATCGAAAATCAGGTTCTACAACGCGAACTGCCCTTCTTTAAACTAAGTAGGATGACATGAGATTCCAACTAATTTTCATGTGGGAAGGCATTGAGGCACAAAACCGGAGGAGATCTGGTTTCGAAACAACTGCAGGGTGCTGGTCGTCCAGTTTCTGATCCAATAACAGAAGGAACTTGGCAATATTCGGAAGTACGAGCTCTCTACAGTGTAGATGTAACAGAGGAACTTTTGACAGAACACTTCCCTTCTGCACATCCAAGCCTGCTGGCCTCCGCAACTTGTATGGTAGCCCAGATGTTGGCTCAATATCAACTTGGGGTATTTGTTTCCATCTCTTGTGCACAAACCACCCGTACTTAAAGTCGCCCACAATTGGCGTACCGAGGGCTTCAGCACAATGGACACGGAGCTGTACAAATGCAGAAGAAATGAAATCAGTGACACCCCAAAATTCAGTATCGGCCAATGTTTACTATACTTTATACCTGATGCTTCCGACTAGTGAGTGGACGTAACTCAATCCATGAGCATCCATTTATTGTAGGACCAAGTACCCGGTATTGAGTTATAGCCTGTTGGGAAGTTTGGAAATCTGATTGATGAGCCAAGATGACCCTCTCTGTCTTCCCATCGTCAAGAACAACCTGCAAACACATTTTTTCTTTCAACACATTAGAAATTAGAAACTAGGAAACTGAATTTAGAGAGAGATAGAGAAAGATAGAGAACCTTTGTAAGAGGAGCACAGATCAAGCCTTCCTTCTCCTTCGGAGAGCCAATGACCAATGCCCAATAACTCTGATATTTTGCATCGCATGCATTGTTCCATGCCTAAAATTACCCAGAAACATATCAGCCTTAAGAATAAAATTTGTTACCATAATTTAATATCCGATATTATATGTCACTGCTTGGTATAACACAGAGTGCATGGCAATATGGGGTATGTTACCTTGCATGACGATTTTCCCTTATTGATGTCAGTGTATAACCATTGCAGAAGAGAAACACTCTCTCTTGTTCTCCCCATTAAGTGGAGGCCACTGCTCTCTGTGTCAAGCCGATGAACCTGATATGAATATGCACACCGAAAACAAGATAATCAACAACCGCTAAATGTATTGGAGAATGAAATAAGTTCAAAGGAAAACAAGAATCCTAGACTGCTCATACAAACAGTTTAATAATACAACTAGTCGTTACGATATGAAGGAACAAATTTGCTTCTTAGCCTTCCTCGCAATTTTATTTGAAGGGAGTCACTAAATTAAAATCTTACCAACTTAGGACCTTCTTTACAATCATAAGATAACGCTGCCGCTGCCAATGCATCCATGCCGTTATGTACAGGCAGATTACCCTAGCAAAATCATTGAACTTCAGAAATCAAATGGTAACACTAAGCTGGTAAAATAAAACAGTAGAACACTGAACACACGTCGAACGGAACTGTATATAGATTCCAACCTTGACCGGCAATTTCGGGGGCTTGTTCAGCACGATGATAGCAGAGTCCTGAAAATTCACGAAAAAAAAAACAATAGTAAGAAGCAAAAACGCACTGAAAAAACAAAATGCCTGCACTAAAAACATCAAACAAACACAGACTAAGTAGGAATTAAACTCAAAAACATGCCTTGTACTTGACAAGCCTCTGCAAGTATTTAATCTCATCAGCATTCGGGTTTAATGTTCCGCTTGGAATGCAGTCGAATCTCCTCGAAACCCTACTCTCGGCAACCGAAACCGGCACAAACACTCTTGCCCCAACATCCACTACATCACTAGGCCTAATCTATTTGCAAATGAATTGAAACCCGCATCAAAATTCAAATCAAACACAAATCAAAAAGCTCAAGCTACTGAAAGATTGCAAATTTACAAGCAAGCATCGTTACCTGTCTCATGGGTTTCACTCGCCCTTCCTTTTCAATCAAATTTGGGCATTCCATCTGAACCTATGAAATTCAAAAAATTAAATAATTAGATCTTTTTGAAAATTAAATTTAAAAATAATTACGCTCCAGTAGTTCACTCACAAGGCCTTTGTTGAAGTGGGACTGAATGGCAGAGTCACGAATCTCGTCGAAGTAATACTTAACCCAGCTGACGGCGGTGACGCGCGAAACGGCGCCGTCTTCGTGTGACCTCTTCCCCGGCAAAGGGTGGCCGGGAAAAGGCGGCAAAGACAGGAGTTGCCTCGGCTTCGGGCCTTCCTTCGGCGGGCCCAATTTAGCCACGTGGTTTGACACCCGGATGAGCGGCTCGCCGCCCGCGGGCGGCGGAGGGCATATTCGAGAATATTCCCTCGGGGATACATGGCGGTAGGGGACGCGGGTGCTCCTCCACATCGTTTTACATGTTGAAGAAATGAGCGAAGGACGAGTGTCAGGCAACGACACAGGGACCGGAAGAAGAGAAGAGAATATTTATGGACCGAAACCTTTGGGCTTGATTGGGCCGGCTTTGGGCCTTATTTGGGCCTATGAGCTTTGTAAGTTTGGGCTACCGGACTCAATCATTTGGTTTACGACAGGGAATGATTTGTCGTATTTGAGGATTATGGGCTGTAAACAGGTGTGACATTTGGCTTAAGTGTGATTAATTATTTTGATGAGGAGCTGTAATGTGCATTAGCCAGCCACGTTTGTCGTAGTGCACAGTACATATTATTATTATTATTATATTTGTTATCTAGTTTTATGTGATGAAGGTCACAAATGTGTGTGAATTGAAATGTCGGAGAAAGGTCTTTGTTACATTTGTGTTGTCGGTTAAACGCGTATGTTACAGTACCCTGAATTTTGCTGCCAAACAATCAACCTGAACAAGTGATTCACATTGACTCAGATCTAGGGGCAGAATCAGGATTCGGATTCAAATTGTGGGGGTCAAAGTGTTGAATGTTTAAGCTTTTTAGAAGAAAAATATGTTTTTATATTGTTCTGCGGGTTCGTTGAATATTTGGTAGGCTTGTAGTCGTGAGACAAGTTATGTTGCACACAAGTTAACAGATTTTGACTTTTGTCGAAGCAATCTGTTGAGTGTTGTCAAGAGTAACTGTCGATGCAACATGATGAACGCTACCAATATATGCTTAGCAAATATTATATCAAATAATTAGTTGGAAGGTTCCTAGAGATTGTTCACAGTCGTGTTTCTAGGCCTCCGAGTCATCTAATGACCATCTTGTTTCCTATGTGGACCCGCCCTTTGATCAGATCCACAATCTTATTATGTTGGCAAATTATTTGACAAGAGAATATTCTATGCAATCAAATAATATAACAAACGGTATTGACATTTCACAGGTAATCAATGCCAAACTATTTTTGACAAATTGTGAAATTCAACACAAGAATCAAGATAATCAATGCCACTAATTCAACTATGTTGATTTGGAATGCTACATACTCACATAGTCTTATTTTAGGCGCATAGAAGAAAATATATGTGAAAATTTTTCACAAACTTTATACGTTAATAGTTTTTATACTTTCTAAATGTTACAAGTGACTTATGCACACTTTTATTTTTTTCGTTTATGGTGGCGGATCCAAGATTCAAATTTTGGATGGCCCCAGTTTTAAAGGTCCGAAGTTTTTTAGATAGAAATTAGAGCTCAAAATGCACAAATTTTTTTTTTTCTAGTTTATTCACTGAAGCATTGTCGAACACTTAATTAATGATATCAAGATAATTTGTCGTGTTGTCCACACAACCTGTCGAGATATGCCTTGCAAGTATTACATCAAACACTAGGTAAGTACAAAATGACCCATACAAAACATTCGGGCAGTCCTCAAAGACCTTCACAAGTATATTTTTTAAAACTCTAAGTGGTCCTCGAACTACCTAGGTCCCAGTGCGCATTCGTCTCTGCTCGTTTTTGCATATTATGTTTATCTCAGTCTTTTGATCATCCTTTGTTTTATTCGATCTAGCAGTTGAAAGTTACCGTAAGTAGCAGCAAAAGAGTGTAAAAAAAAAATTGTTCTTGAAACAAAGAAAATAAAAGAATGTTAGAGAATGTGGAGTTATTGTGTATGAGAATGTGCCAATGTGGTAATCACAATTCCACGTGGAGATTCGATTCCTTATTCTTCTTTCTTTTTGTCAATACTCCCACAATCCACATGGAGATTGATACAATGTGACGTCATTTTTTCTTAAATATGTTTAGAACCTTTGAATTTTGATTAGTTTAGATCCTTCGAATTGCCACTTAGTACTACGGTTTAGTGATATTCCTCTTCGCTTGTAAATAAGAGGTCTTAGGTTCGATTTTCGTCAAAGATGAGTTTGAATCACATTATTACTAACTCATTGTGAGACTAAGTTCACCCTCTCCCCTTAGGGTAAATAATATCACTTGTTCAACAAAAAAAAAAACTTCGAATTTTGATTAGTTTAGATCCTTGAAATGAAGGAAGTAGCTTCCATTCCACGAATACATTATAGTAAAATTAAAATATTTAATTATTTATCTCCTTCTCCTTTTACCCAATTTACGTCACTTTTTTTTTTAGTACTATACTTGCTTCTTACTTCTTTTCTTAAATCTTTGACGATAAAATAGTTATTAAATGGGTAATGGAAAGAATAATATTCAAATACGAAACCAGATAACTGGCTAAGCTAGGGTATAAATACGACCATCTTTAAGTATGATTTGTTAATTTATCTTGGTGATATAATTTATCAATTAGAATTAGACATGTGTGGTTTACAAATATGTTGATTGACACACCCTGATCCTAGAATCAAGGCGTGTTGGCCGTCACGGCTCGTCGGAAAATCCAACGATTTCCAAAAATTAGCAAAATTTACAGAAATGAAGATCTCAATGAGTAGAGTAAACTTTATACCTGTGGTCAAGGCCAATTTGGCCTGGAAATGCTCCAATTTCATCAAACCCGTGAAGAATCCTAGAAATGAGTGTTTTCAATTCGACCTCCAAAACCACTCCAATGCTCAAACTAATGTTTGGGCTTTGTTCCAAGTCCTAAGGGAATGCTAATGGTGTTAGTAATTGAAAGAAAACGTTTCAAGATTTGAAGAATTAGTACACTAAGCCACCGCAAACCGTGAGGGCGTGGTCGGGGTCCAAAACGGACAATATCGTGCTACGGTGGTGGAGCGGGCTCGGGAAGTGGTCCACCCCGGACCGGGATGTGACGTTGATGAATTTTATGAATAATTTTATGTCGTTTCAAGTGAAAAAGGATTAAAAATTCACAATCTGTAGTATATAATTTACATTCTAAGCAAATTGAACTACATACCTCTTGACAACCCTTTTACGTCAACTCATTTTCGCTAACCTTTTGCCCTACTTGGTGAATAAATAAAGTTAGAAGAATTAGAATTAGACGTGTGGTTTAAAAATACGTTGAGGAGCTTATTTATAATTGTATGTCGTTTCAAGTAAAAACTAAAAATTCACAATCTCAAATACATAATTTACATTTTAAATCGGTTATGTTTCAGCTATTTAGTACTACAGTCTAGTGATATTCCTCTTAACTTATAAGTAAAGAGTTTTAAGTTTGATTATCGTCAAATGCAAATTTGAATAACATTAATGCTAACCCATTATGAGGTTAAGATAATATTTAAAAAAAAATAATCGATTGAGTTACAATCTTCTTAACAATCCTTTTAGGCGGCCCTAGTTACGTAGACTTTTTGGCTTACTTGGTGAATGAATAAAGTTCGTAGAATTTTATAACTTCTTCCATGTTGAGTGGGGTGGTGACAATGTCATGATCTATCTACCTGCTTCCTGAATATTCACGATTTTGACATTGTTGTTGCAGTTACGTGTCCTGCACTTCCACAAAAAGCCATACACTTCCTTGTGACTCACAATTTCAAAGTTATCCAAAAAGCCACCCAATACTTCCAAAACTTGAAAAGATATATCCACCCCCACTTTTCCTTTTTTTTTCTTTTCCTTTTTTGGAATTCTTGGATACTGAAGTAATTTCATGATGTATTTAAGACTCGTTTAGAAATGCAATTAAAATAAATGAAAAAGTTTTTATTCTTTAGTTCTAAGATTATTTAAAGTGTTTTGCTTTTCACTGGTATGTAAGAGGTTTTAAGTTTGATTCTCGTCAAAAACAAATTTGACCACATTATTGTTATCTCATTGCGAGACAAAACCCACTCCTCCACCTTAATGTAGATAATATAGTTTGTTAGAAAAAAATAATAATAAGAAGCACTAGTTTTCAACGTATTTAGGGCTCGTTTGGAAGTGCAATTGATATAATTGAAAATACTTTCAAAGAAAATGTTTTTGTGTTCCAAAAACATTTGAAAGACTTCTTGCAACAAACACCAGTTATGTGTTTTTTTCCAGGATATACTTCAAGTTCTTTTCCAAGATTCATTTTAATTTTTACTAAAGATTGGTTCTAAAAATATTTTTATCTAACACGTTTTTTTAGCTATTTTAAAAACGCTTCCAAACGAACTATTAAACACTATCATTGTTGGGTGTGTTATTAGTTGTTAACATACAAAAAAAGTGATTTTTACCTTTTTAGAATGATTTTGGCATTATTATTGTACTCTTGGCTCTAAAAAGCGAATCAAAAAATTGAAACGGAATTAATTGAGATATCTTCAATATCTAGAATATGTTCTTCAACTTTTAGCCATGAAAAATGAAAGAGAATAAATTCTTGATATCAATCACTTATGTAAACATCCAAGCATCATTTCATTTAAATTTAGATAAAGCTAATAAAATTATATTCTTTTTATATATGGTGCAAAATCGACTGAGATAATATTCACAATGTGACATGTTGACATAGTGTTTTATGAGCGCATTTATATTATAGCACTTGTACAATTATTATTAGGGAATTTTAACGAAAATCTCCTGGTACTATTCATTTTAATGAAAAATCACATTTTTATACTAAAAAGTCAATTATGGTACTATTCACTTCACCATTTATTTTGTCCTTATCGTTAAAACTCAAAGTTTTTAAGCTATTTTCATTAGTTTTCCTTTATTATTATTAATATTAATATGTAAACTTAATATGAAAATGATCAACCTTATGGCTGGTATGGAATGCATAACGCTTATGTTAGCTAGCACATCATGTGGTGTTACATCCACTTACAATAGTTTTGGAGTCATTATATGGCAATGAATAATACAATGTTAAGGGCTCGTTTGAAAATGTTTTCATAATGGTTGAAAGTGTTCTTGAAATCAATTCATATTAAAATGACAAGTGAATCCTGAAAAACGCTTTATTGCTTCATGCAAGGAGCACGTAATTGATACTTCTTGTAGAACACTTTAAGTGCTTTTGCAAACCAAAAAAATATTTTTACTAAAAGCGGTTTCAATCATCTTAAAAAAAGTTATAGGTGAATAACATACGCACAATAATCCCAAAGCCTATATGTTGTAGGACAACAAAAACAGAAGCATTTACCGTGTTTTTGGTAAGAGGTTTTTGAGAAAAAAAGTACGATATTCATTAAGATTGATATATAATACATACAAATAGTAGGATAGGGTGCATATTTAATGGCTGAAAACGGAAGCATCTACGATGTACCCGAAGCCTGCATCTTGAAAAGAATTTGGAGTGCTTCTTATAAGAAACACCAGCACATAATTAGTGTTTCTTGTATAATGCACTTTAAGTACTTTTGGAACTCAAAAACACTTCTCGACAAATACTTTCAATCATTTTAAAAGAGTTTCCAAACGAGTCCGAAATAGTTAGTTGTTAGCAGGAGGAAAGAAGCCTCAATGGTTTCCCTTGGAAAAAAAAAATGTTAAACTAACTAGTTCTTGGTGGTTAGACAAAAAGAAAAAACTAGTTCGTAGTGTAATGAAATTGTAAAAAGTTCCCAATAAGAATCATATTCACACTCCCTTTGTTGATAAACAATATTCGAAAGGAAAAGAGTTTTTAAAATCGATTCCATGAAAAAATAGGATGATGCTAAAGAGATCATTCACTTAAATCATATTATGTAGCGGGTTATGATTCGACTTCCTTTTTTAACCATTATAAATTGAAACTAATCATCGACAGTAACATCATGTAATTTATAAAATATAGCTTAAAAAAATAATTCCATAATATTTTCCTAAAAAACGTGACTTTTCTCATCATTCATTTCATTTTCCGTAGTGTCAAACATTAAACAGTTCTCCTTAAACAAGGTCAAATTATGTCAATTTCTTTCTTTGTCTCAAATATAGTAACGTTAAACGCCATAATTAATTTCCCAATCTCACCCAATCAATGCCAGCGATTACACAAGAGATCATGGGCCCAACCTTAAACTGAATCAATTAATCCCAGATTTTAACCTAAAACAAAAGCAGTCACCAATCACCGCCCGCCGCCTCCTCCTCCGCCTCCGTAACTTTACACCCAAGTCCTCGCCATCACTCCGCTGGTGGACATGTGAGTCTTCGAACCTTCACAAAGCCCCACCCCACCCGAGATCGCTCCACGTGTCAGATCTGGTCCACCCCGAAACGGCCTTTTTAATTTCTTTACGTTTTTTAATCATTTAATTACTCCAAAATTTCAGTTACTCCCTCTCTCAGAGAGAGAGAGAGAGAGAGAGAGAGAGAGACTTTAAACTGCTTTTTTGCTGCTTCTTCTTCGTCCTCCTTCTGGAAAATTAATTAATCAATTAATTAATTAAATTAATTGTTTAATTAAAGTAACCGCTGGCGACTGGTACCATTGGCGATTCCTATATATTGGTCTTCTTTTCATGCTTTTGCTGCGGCACCCAAAGATCTTCACGCTTTCCAGCATTCCCACCACTTCTTCTTCCTCCTCTGCCTCGTGTACTGCGCTGTCGTTTGACAGCCCTAATTCGCTTGCTTCCATGGCCAAGTGCATACTGGTCACCGGCGGTGCCGGTTACATCGGCAGCCACACCGTGCTTCAGCTTTTACTCGGCGGCTTCAAAACCGTCGTCGTTGATAATCTCGACAACTCCTCCGAAGTCGCCATTAACCGCGTCAGGGAACTCGCTCGTGAATTCGGCAAAAACCTCTCCTTCCACAAGGTATGGGTTTTGAATTTTTGTGTTTAATTTTGATAATCGGGTGATTGTTCGTTTAATTTGATCAGTTGTAGTTTCGAATTTTCAATTGGCAGAAACCGACACTCTGGGTTTTTGGACTGAATATTTATACCCAAGTTTCACAAATTGGTATTTTAATTGGCTTGGATAAACAACAAAAATATATACAATTGGGTTACTTCTAATTTTCTGTTTTGGTGGGTATTTTTGGAGAACTGTAATTCTGCTTTCTGGGTTTCCAAGTTTGTGTTTTTATATTTGAAAATTTGGGAAATTTAGGAAATTTCTTGATGTTTGTGCCTTAATATAACTGCTGCGAAAGTTATGCAGAACTGAGGTATCATATTAGACAGACATACTGTTTCATTGATTCATGGATGATCATGATTTATCATAACTCTGTTTCCAATTCCACCTGCAGATGGACCTCCGGGACAAAGCGGGACTCGATAATCTCTTTTGTTCAACACCGTAAGCATCTTCACCTAAAAGCGCCCCCAATCTTGACTTTGCCATCTAACTTATGGTGTTCCTGTTGTAACCTCCCTTGTTCATCTCTCCAAATTGCAGATTTGATGCTGTCATACACTTTGCTGGACTCAAAGCAGTTGGTGAAAGTGTTCAGAAACCATTGCTTTACTATAACAACAATTTAATTGGGACAATTACTCTGTTGGAAGTCATGGCTGCCCGTGGATGCAAAAAGGTTCTCTCTTATGTTCCTTCAGCCTTGATATAATTTTGATTGCAAACACCTTGTTTATCATTTTCAAGTTCCCAAATTATATAGATGGTACTTCTTCGGAGAATTTTTTAAATGCAGATTTTGGATGTATATGATCGTTCATTGACACGGGTTTCGCATACTTTGAATGTTTTCAGCTTGTGTTCTCATCTTCAGCAACTGTTTATGGTTGGCCGAAGGTGGTCCCATGTACAGAGGACTTCCCACTTGCTGCAGCAAATCCTTATGGACGAACGAAGGTATAATACGGCCAGAATAATGTACATCTAGTTCAAAATGTCTGGTTAAGTTCTCAGTGAGAGCATCACTAGCAGTTTCTTTCTTCAGAAGATGTACCTTTTGTTCATCCCCTGTATATTTTTCTATGAGGTCTAATGAGGTTATCTTTCAGCTTTTCATTGAAGAAATTGCTCGAGATATTTACAGCTCAGACTCTGACTGGAAAATCATATTGCTGAGATATTTCAATCCAGTCGGTGCACATCCTAGTGGCCTTATTGGTGAGGATCCCCGTGGGATACCAAACAATCTCATGCCGTTTGTGCAGCAAGTTGCTGTAGGCAGGCGTCCAGCCGTGACAGTGTTTGGAACTGACTATAATACCAAAGATGGTACTGGGGTATGTATTCATTTTAGCCTTTTGCTTTAAGCAATTTTTTTCATGTCTGCAATAACTTGGTTGGGCTATATCCGAATTTATATAGATGCTCAGTTTACTTGATTACTTGAGATATCTCGAATACTTCATCTTTGTTCTGGTATTGATTAATCATGAATTATGGGGATTTACGGTGGTATCATTTGGTTTTTCTATTTGTCTTACGCTGAATACTTTTGTTGGAGGTTTAATTCTGATGGTGTTTGTTCCTTTTCAGGTACGTGATTATATTCATGTATGTGATTTGGCAGATGGTCACATTGCTGCATTGAACAAGTTAGATGAGGATACTATGGGTAGGGGTTCTATATCACCATTTTCTTTGTCTGTGATACTTGTCTTGTTTCTGTTAGTTTGACCCGGAGATTATTTTATGCAAGACCACACCCTCAGACTATTTAAAAAATCTTGCCTCAAATGTGATGTTTTGGTGTTTATTTATCTCATGCTAATGTGGTTCAGACAAATTTCAATATTGAACTTTCACATTTTATTTTGCTTTTGTTTCACAGAGATGATGAATCTATTAACACACTGTATTAATCCACAGGTTGTGAGGTGTACAATTTAGGAACGGGTAAAGGAACATCAGTCTTGGAGATGGTTGCAGCATTTGAAAAGGCATCTAGAAAGGTTTGTTTTTGCAAATATTTCCCATTTACTTCCCTCGCTATCCTCCTGGTTCCTAGAAACATTTCCGTGCTTAGAAACATCGGTTGTTGTATTGATTTCTGGACCCTAATCTGCTGTGAACATTGTGCTGCATGTAAAATTGGGGTCTCATTATGTGAGTGTGTAGTCAAATATTTTGTTTAGGATAGAGGTGACTTGTGTTTGCGTAGTCAAATATTTTATATCAAATTGGACAAAAGTGTGGTTAACGTTTCAGAGTTTTGACATGAGATTATTCTAAATAAGCGAATTCTAGAATTTATATAGTTGGAGAATATTGTGTTCAATTCTTTTGATCGACTCACTCTTTGGAAGAATCTCTGATCTTGTTCCAGTTCCACAGTATACAGAAAAGCTTTTATTAGTTTGGTTATGTTCGACCATTTATTATTTTGGTTAAGCTTATTTGTGTACTTGTTAATATTTCAGAAACTTCCTGTTCTCACGTCTGGGAGGCGTCCTGGAGATGCGGAAGTTGTCTATGCATCGACAGAAAAGGCGGAGAGAGAGCTGAACTGGAAGTGAGTACCTAGTGTTTGTGAAAAAATTATGCAGTGTGCCATCAACCCTTATATCTTACATTTGTAATTACCTTGCAGGGCGAAATATTCCATTGACGACATGTGCCGGGATCAGTGGAACTGGGCTAGCAAAAATCCATATGGCTATGAAACTTCAGACTAGCAATTGAGAGCTGATAGTTTCATATGCTTTATATGTTAGTTTAGTGTTTATCGACAGTGGAACTAGACTAGCCAAAAATCCGTATAGCTTTGGAGATGCAGACTCTAAGCAACTGAAAGGTGATAGTTTCATATGCTTTACATTTAGGTTTAGTGGTCGTCATCTCTCACCCTCGATGTAAAGGTTTAGTGGCCTTGCAGAGATTAGGTTCTTTCTCTCATGAGCTTCGATCGTAGATCTTTAAGCTGTAGGTCACAGCGGTGTTACGATTCAGGCCAGTTAATGTTATGTTTTGGTTTTACAGTTTTACTTGATCATCACAGTTTTAGTAGTACAGTTCTAACCAATCGCTGTTACTTATGCTCCTACATGTATTTTGAATAATAAATTCATGAGATCGAACCGCTTTTTACCGTTAGTTGCAATACATGAATTCGGAATTTCCGGAAGAGACCGTGTTGTTTGATACATATATGCTTTTGCTTTGTCATCTCTCTGTTGTGTGCCTGGGTTCCTTCATCCTTGCGCGATATTCTACTAGATATTTAAACCATGAACAAACTATTCTATACTGCTTGGCTACCCTTGTTTTCTCAAGTTAAGTTGGAAAATGCTCGGACTTTGAATTCCGAGCATTTTCCAAGTCAAATTAGGTACACTATTAACTGCAGTGTATAAAAAATTTCGTGGTTCTAAAGCAATAGAAAACACAATAAAACAGACGCGAGAAACTTATCTGATCTTTAAACCCTTAGCCAAGCAGAAACAAGTGACTGCTCATTCCTTCCAATGGGGATCGGCCTGTTGCGTGATGGCACCATGGCACGCCCGGAAGCAACACGAACACAACTAACTGGTACATGCAGAATTATATGTACCAATGGGCTGCATTCGTGCTGCTTATGCATGTGGCACCATGAATTTGTGTACGCTTTGTAGTTTTGTATTATATTTGAGTGTATACATATATTAAATTAGAGATGTAAAAACTTTGGATCATGCTATTCACACACCCATTTTAGCTATTGATCTTCTAAAATTCATTTAATTCGATCGTCAAGAATTAAAAGGGGTGTGAGAAATAGAAAATGAATGTGTAGGTAACACTTTCCAAAACTGTATACATAGAATTTGGGAGAGTGTAGGAGAAAGGCCTACTGACCTTGGTGTGGTACGTCAAATGTGCGGTTCTGGACAGCCCATCAAGTAAAAGAGCGTGTTTGTATCATGTGCTTTACAAAACAAGATATTTGTGTGTTGAATAAGTCTTCGTCAGATAGGTCTTCATCTAACGATAATGAAGTTATAAGTCAAAGCGTCGTTTTTTTGGTAAACTCAATGCAGACTTATATGACACAGTAATTTTCTTACCAATGAAGACATACAATTTTTTGTTCACATGTCTTTGATTTATTGATACGGGATATTATGGCGTCGGTGTATTCGTGCCATATAAATTGCTCTCGTTAACGTAGCAGGAATGGACCTTGTAAGGCCAACGGATCTTTTCCAACTGTAATATAACCATTCGTTAACAATTCTTCCATGGTGATGTGTCAAGAGATGAGCCCACACTATAATATAAACGAGGTAAATTCAAACTAAAGTGCAGAGAGTGTACAACATACTCTTCGAAACTAGTAGAAATGGGGCATGTAACCATCATTTGGGAAGATGGCTACATATATAAGTGGGATACAAATACGATTTCATATCAAGAAACATATACAAATAGTTATGAGTATTGTACTGAGGTTTGTGTTTGGAATCACATTGGACAACTCGATTTTAGTGTGACGGTACTTCGTTCTATAAATTTGAAGATGCTCGAGAGTTCAAAATTCTATCTCCTATTTAGATTGGACAAATATATAGACTGAATTAACGAGTTAAACGAATCTCTGAACTGAATTAGCATATCATATACGATTTAAACGTTACAAAGGAGGTAATAACAAGAGACATTTTCATGGGACTTGGCATTGTGCCGTTGGGTTGGAGTTTGAATATAGCATGCACTTGAACTTCCAAAAAAATGGGGGACCTTCCTTCTTTATTGTTCAAAATAGAGCACAAATTCAAATTCACATAGACATGAATTGGAAAGTTGAAAAGATTTTTTTCAAATTTACTCTCATTACGTTAATATTTTTTCTTAATTTATTGAATTTCATATGTTTTCTTAATGATTATTATGCTTTCCAAAGGGTGATGGTTTCTTATGCTTTATATTTAGGTTTAGTGGCCTTGCAAAGATTATGCGTCGTTTTATTAGTACAAGGTAGTCAAGGAGAAATTTTTATGTACGGACAACCGTATCACGTCACCAATTCTTGAGATCTCTCATGTCATGGCCGTCGGCCAAGGCCCCTTGCAGTTTGTTTTGGTTAGTTCTTGAATCTTGTTGAACCTTTGGCCGACCGTCTTCCAAAAAAATGGGTTCCTTCGTCTTGTGGCCATTGCATGTTGCGCCTCTCTTATAATTCAATGTCATTATTTGACTTTTGTTGTCTGTCAATTTGTTTTTTATTCGAGCAATATTCTATTGGAAAACTAAAGTACAAGGATGTGAATTCAAACAATTTTAGACTAGTCGGTTGAACCAAGGTATATAAAATAAAAAAAGAATATTGGCTGTCTATAATTGGACAATTCGCTTTTAACTTTGTTAAAACCGCAGTCACTCAGGACTACGGTTTGGTGTTATTCCTCTTCATTCGAAAGTGAGAAGTCTTAGGTTCGAATCTCGTGGATGGCGAATTCGATACCAAATTAGACTGCTAATTGTGTAACTTAACCGAACTATCGCAGCGCATTAATGGAAAATTTGTACATATAAAAAATGTTCATTAAAAAATAACATATGAAATTAGAGAAGGCAGAATGATTGTGTATGGAAAAGTGTGCCCACCGGTTCAACAATAGTAGGATATGATTCAAACTCCAACACTGGTTTTGGCGCACTACAATTGAAATCCTTCTTTCTTTTTAGTGTTTGATAACCTTATACAACAACTGGTAGGGATTTTGGTAGGCCAAGTAAATTTCGATATTCTTCTTTGTTAGTCAATCTTATGTTATCGTTTTAAGATCTCAAGATTGTTCCGAGAAAAACGACTTAAGTTTGCACACATTGATGAAAAAAATGTGTCTAACAAAATGAGAGTTGAAATTAAGACCTCTCACTTATAAATGAAAAAAATACTACTATGTTGTAGTACTAAATGATTGTTGACATTTTTAACGTGAAATTAAAATGATGTGGATGACAAGGGGAACAAAAATTGTTAAATGAGTTATAAGACGTCTAATGAATCTTGTAAATGTGTTTTTTATTTAATTTATTTAGTTTTAGGAAAACTAATTAAAATAGCTTGAAAACTTTGAGTTTTAACAAAAATGACAAAATAAAGGGTAAAGTAAATATCAGAATTGACTTTTTAGTGTAAAAATGTGGTTTTTTGTTAAAGTGAACAATATTGAAAATTTTTCGTTAAAGTTCCCTTTATTTTTATGTTAAAACGATAGTTTTGTTAGGTCAAATGTTAGATTAGAAAGCCAACAAGATTCGAACTCATGCTGTGGTGTAAAGGCAACACTCATCTCCACTACTGTAGTAGAGGGCCACGCCTTGTAAAGGTTCATTACAACAATAAGCATGAACGTGTCACCGAGTTTTATTTGTGCTCTAATTTTTTGTTTATTTTTCTGTATTGTTTTTTAATGTTAATAACTTAGGATCCGTTTGGTATTCTATTTTAGTAGTAAGTAGGAAACTATGACTCTAAGAAGAGGTATTTTCAAGTTGAATATTAAGATCCAAAAACTTTTTTGGTTGGGAAATAAAAGTTGTTTTCGAACTTTTAAATTTAAAAGGGAAAGAAAAAGACCAATCGAAGTTGACGGGCAAGATGCCAATGATCACACACCCTTCCCCTTTTCTATTGAGTAACAATTTCCTCTTCTCGTGACCTTCATTTTCATAAAATGGATTGAAATAGAGGATCAAGAGAGAAACGGAGAGGGAAGAGGGGAGAGGATCGATTCGGATAGGGAGAGTAGAGTAGTAGGGTGATAGTTCGGTTCAAATATCGTAGATGTTAAGTTCGATACAAATTTATTCCCGTCACTCTTATGTCGTTGTATAAAAATATTATATATCCCAAACCGGCTTTTATTTTTCTTAGGTCTTCCACCGTCATTTACGTAAGTTTGACTCTATATATAACACTTTAAGTTTAATTCTTATAACACTATTGCTATAATGGTATGAATTTGATAGAGTTTTGTTCTATCTATTAATCATGCGACTGATCTATTTATTCATTTTTCTTATATTTATGATTGGTTTATTCACTTTTATTTCGGTAAAATAATTGGTCATGTGTTTAATATATTAAACTTAATAATTGAAATTGCTATCATAAAACTCAAATTTTTCTAACTCACTATACGAGTTTAATTTCTTTTCTTTTTTTGATGAAAATACGAGTTTAATTTCTATAAAATTAGAATCAAACTCATCATTTTTTCGACCTTATATAAAAAAACATAAATTCTCAAAAATAAATAAAAATAAGAAAATGTCCAACCCACAAATAGTGGAGAGTGAAGAGTAACAAGGAAACGCGGATCTAGCGAGTCGAGCCGAGTCGAGTCGTGTCGAGTTCAGGTTCAATTCAACGCAACGCTGAGTCGTTTATTCCCATTCGAACCGCTCTCTCACCCGTCGCACTTTCATATCACTTTCCTTTTAAAACGCAAACACATTTCGAAATTTCAAAGCTAACTCTCTCTCTCTCTCTCTCTCTCCTCGCCCGTCATCATCGTCACCACCGCAGATCTAGGTCTTTGAACGTCAAAGTTTCGAGCTCGCCTCAGATCCAGGCGATCTGATTCTGACGCCGTAGTCGTCGCCGCCGCCACCAACTTCCGAAGCCAAGAATGGAGAACCTGATCTCGTTGGTGAACAAAATCCAGAGAGCTTGTACTGCTCTAGGTGACTATGGCGAAGGTAGCGCATTACCGACTCTTTGGGACTCTCTTCCCGCCATCGCCGTCGTCGGTGGCCAGGTCAACTCCCGATCCCTCACCTTCAATCTTACCTCTACGATTGATTCATGCATATGAATTCTGGTTGTGTGTTCAATCGCTCTGTAGCTTAGATCTTAATTGTGTATTTAGCAGTGCTGATTATGGCGGTTTGGTTTAATTGCTTGAACACTGTTGCACAAATTGGTGCGGAGTTGTAAATTAGTTTGATTTTTCACAGATCTACAAAAATTTGGATCCAAAGTTTGAAACTTGAAACTAGCTTAATTTGGAGCAAAAATGAAAATGAGATAAGGCATGTCGAATACAATAGCAAATTGTAGAAGAAAAAGTAGAGGGAATGGATTTATTTTCGTATATATAATGTGTCCTTATGATTTTGTTCTGTTCTGCAGAGTTCCGGGAAGTCTTCTGTTTTGGAGAGCATTGTTGGGAAGGATTTCTTACCGCGTGGTTCTGGTAAGTTTATCAAATCCCAAGCAATCTTAGTTTTGTGTGGTTTGGTTGTCTGTTGGTTGGTGATATTTGTTTAGTCGTTCAGTATGTTGACTTCAGTTTCTTAGATGTTCTTGTGGTGTTAGTTCTCGTGTATGTACTTGTTAACATGGACTATTGTTCTTGGATATTTTTGAATGGGAAATAATTGCAGGAATTGTTACTCGGCGTCCACTTGTCTTGCAACTTCATAAGATTGACGAAGGAAGCAGAGAATATGCGGAGTTTCTCCATCTTCCAAGGAAGAGGTTCACCGATTTTGGTAAGTTTCTTTCTCTTCGTTCTAATTTGCCTGTTTGCATTTTTGTCGCAATGTGACAAATGCCACTAATTTTCTTGGTATCCAGATTTTGCTGTAAAGATTTTGCATCTTAGATGATTTTCCCCATCTGAAAATTTCAAAGTTATATCACAAAGAAGAAGACTTATATTTTATTTATGTTATTGTGTAAATTTACACACAGAGCTATCTGCATATTTATTTCATTTTAAATAATTAACATCTGTGCAGCTGCTGTGAGAAAGGAGATTTCAGACGAGACAGATCGAGAAACCGGCCGCAGTAAACAAATCTCTAGCGTTCCAATTCATCTTAGCATATATTCTCCTAATGGTAAGATAAGCGATTGTTGACTTGTTTACTTCTTTTTATTTTAATTGGTGGCTTATAGTTACCTAAAACTTGGAGCATCTTGGTTTAGGGAATGGGAATGAGAATGTGGTACTGCCATGTATCTTGGAACATGGAACAATTGGGGTAGAGTTGGTAGACTCAAATTAAATATCATAGATTGTTTGATTAATAGTTTGAATGTGATAAGACAATCCTGGGTCAAATGTCTTTTTATAATACCGGCCTTTCTCCCCACTAAATATATCAGTTTGCTGAAGTCCTGTACGTATTAGTTTCACATTTCTTTTCAAAACAATAGACAACAGATAAATTCGAATGATGTTTCTACTTGGTCCACTTAAAAAAATATTAAGGCCTTGGGCCTCGGCTAATGAAATATGAATATCAGGGAATGAGGTCCAGCATTTCCTTTCTTTAATACGTCCGCAGTATAACATTTTCATGTAATGTTGTTTTATGTATGCATATTTTGATGATCTCTTTTACTGATGTATCAAATTTATATTGATTCTTGGCAGTTGTCAACTTGACACTTATTGACCTTCCCGGGCTTACAAAAGTCGCTGTTGGTAAGTATCTTGGATCTCATAGATTTGGCAATTATTATGTAGGCACTTTATAAAAGATTTTCTAACAACCTTTCGTGGGAATGTAGAGGGTCAATCGGAAAATATTGTACAAGATATTGAAAACATGGTTCGCTCCTACATTGAGAAGGTAATATCCATTGGAATGTTTTCTTTTTCAAATTTTTACTATCCTGAACCATATTGTCTGATAAACATTTTATGCAGCCCAACTGTATAATTCTAGCTATTTCACCTGCCAATCAAGATCTTGCTACATCTGATGCAATTAGGATCTCTCGCGAAGTGGATCCAACAGGTAACCCTAATACTATTTTCTAAATATCGTAAATATTCTCTTGCTATATTCATATTCTTGTGCATCATGCTTTCTAAGAAAAGGTTCAGCTAATCAAGGAATCATTATATCAATATACTGAAATGTGATATCTTGTAGTTGTGGCCACAATTGACTACCATGTCTTGCAAAAGTATGTAGGAAACTATAGATGTGGAAGGATTGAGTATATTCCCTTTCTTTTTGCAGGGGAGAGGACACTTGGAGTCTTGACAAAGATTGATCTTATGGACAAGGGTACTGATGCAGTTGAAGTAAGTTGGCCTAGTATCTTGTTTTAAATGTTTGAGACTGGATAATTTGGTAAACAACCATTAACAAGTATAAAGTATTAAAGAATTCTTGGTTTATTGCTCAAAATATCTTTCTTTGACTTTTTTATAGTCCAGAAAAGTTTTATTTATAGCTACATATTTCAAGAATCGTTTAGGATAAAGAGATATCTTGGCTGATTCATATCAATCCATATGAAAAGTTTTATTTAGTCATACATTTTCTTGGTTTTGTTATGAGAGTTCAAATATATCACAAGTCCATAAAGTCTATATCTTCAACAAGTTCCTCCCGTTTTGAGATTTTCTTTATTATTTTTTTATGGAGTGCTAGACTCAATTATGACATACATATAACAGTGTCCACTCCAGATCAAGCCTGCATATAAACATACATATTTAGTCTCTTTTTGAGTCACAATGAGTAGCAAATCTCAAATTTTAGTGGTCACTTGGCAATACATACATTTTGGATAACCTTATTTAATAGATGGAAGCTGCATAATTTTGCATTTTTATATCCTGACTCCTGATTTTCTGTTCCTTTTTGGGTTTCTTAGATATTGGAAGGAAAGTCATATCGGCTAAAGTTTCCTTGGGTTGGGGTTGTGAATCGCTCACAAGCAGATATTAACAAGAATGTTGACATGATTGCTGCCAGGCGTAGAGAACGTGAGTATTTTTCTACCACCCCAGAATACAAGCACCTTGCTCACAGAATGGGTTCTGAGCATCTAGCAAAAATGCTTTCTAAGGTATGAAACTGATACCCTACTTCAATCTGATTTTGGTATACTATAACAAGAAATCAAGTTAGTAGCTCTTTTTTATTTACCTTGGGTTAATCGTGGTTGCCTTCACTAAATTCTTGTGATGGTTACTGTCTCAGCATTTGGAAACTGTAATTAAGTCAAAAATTCCGGGCATCCAGTCCCTTATTAGCAAGACTGTTGCTGAACTTGAAACTGAACTGAGTCGTCTTGGAAAGCCCATTTCTGCTGATGCTGGAGTAAGTTTGCTTTGTTTTTCATTGTATTCTTTTGAAATGTCTTGCTTTTAAAGTCAAGTGATTATGAAGATTGACCTCTATTTTTAACTTTTACAAGAGTTGCTACTGATTGATTGCTTTGGCCTTGCAGGGTAAACTGTATACCATCATGGAGATTTGTCGCTTTTTTGATGGGATATATAAAGAACATCTTGATGGCGTGTATGTATCTACCACACTAATCTTTTACAATACTGGTGCTTGGCTCAATATTTATTGTCTGTTATGATTTAATAGTCTTATACTAATATGTTCTTCTTATCCACAGGCGTCCAGGTGGTGATAAGATTTACAATGTTTTTGATAATCAGCTTCCTGCTGCTCTGAAAAGATTGCAATTTGACAAGCAGCTTTCAATGGAAAATATACGAAAGCTCATTACTGAAGCTGATGGATATCAACCTCATCTTATAGCTCCTGAACAAGGTTATCGTCGTCTCATTGAATCCTCTGTAGTTAGCATAAGAGGTCCTGCTGAGGCAGCTGTTGATGCGGTATGATTATAGGTTTCCTTTCCTTCTGTGCAAAATGTTGGTAATTACTTTATCACGCTGCTTGTGCTAAGATGAGTTATTTTGAACTTTTTGTTATACCAGGTTCACATCATTTTGAAGGATCTGGTTCACAAGGCTATCAGTGAGACTCCAGTATGTTCACAACCATGTTCAATTAGTTCTTCCATTGATTTTTCTGTCCTTTTGTTATCTTTTGGTGTTAGTCTCGTTTTACTGTCCATTTCCTCGTTTTTGTTTTTTGTTTTCATCTTGTATTAACGCTGCCCTCATTGTCTTACAGGAGTTAAAGCAGTATCCTGCTCTCAGAGTAGAGGTTACAAATGCAGCTACTGAGTCGCTCGAGAGAATGAGAGAACAAAGCAAGAAGGCAACACTACAGCTAGTTGATATGGAATGCAGTTACCTGACGGTTGATTTCTTCCGTAAACTTCCCCAAGACATTGACAAGGGCGGAAACCCATCGCATTCACTTTTTGATAGATACAATGATTCATATCTCAGGCGGATTGGTGAGTCTCATGAATTAAAAATTAGGCTCACTTGTATTCTATGGAGGTTTACACATTGCTATTCTTTTCTATTGGACCAATATCTAGACACCTTATTCTGTTGGTAAATTCTTTGCTCATAAAAAACAGGGTCTAATGTTCTGGCGTATGTCAATATGGTATGCGCAAGCTTGCGTAACTCCATCCCCAAGTCTGTGGTCTATTGCCAAGTTCGAGAGGCGAAACGAAGCTTACTTGACCATTTCTTCACTGACTTGGGAAAACTGGAGGTAAGTAGAGATATCCTCTACCCGTCTTTGCTAGTTGTCCTTTCGTCGAAAATTGACGGTCCTTGTAGAGAGAGATGCTGACTCTGGATTAACTCTGAATTTTTTGAACAGACAAAGCGGCTGTCGTCGTTACTGAATGAGGATCCGGCAGTAATGGAGAGGCGTACTTCCCTTGCAAAGAGGCTGGAGCTATACAGGAGTGCTCAAGCAGAAATGGATTCAGTTGCTTGGGCGAAGTAGATGTGTTTGCAGCACACATCTGCTATACCTTTCGAACGTGGATTTTGTCGAGATGGCCACACGATTCATTCATTTACGATTTAGTTGTAATGGTGGGAAGGAAGGCGGGTTCGGAGGCATCTTGTTTATTTTTATTCATGTACTAACGAGTTGTGTGAGGTGATGCCATCTTTCACTTGATATCGCTATGCCTGTTTTTCAACTGCAACATTTCTATAGTATATATATATGATTTGCTTCAGATGTGCCATTTTTGCAACTTGCTTCTGCTTCGAGGGTGCCTGTGGTGCAAGTTGGGCCTTTTAACGAACGACACTCCGTTGTCCATTTAAATATGTGGGATTCGAACTTAGGTGCATAGAAAAATGGAAGTTTAAAACGAGCTCGGCAAGAAGAGCAGTCGGAACTTGAACCACTATTGGTAAATGTTTTAGGCCAATTATCAATTTTCACTATTTTTTTTTTTCAAACGAGAGATTTTGTTAGATTAGTCGTTGATGGAGTTTAAACTTTAAACCCATGTTATGATGCAAGGGTAATATTCTTCTACACCATTGAGATAGAGGGCAAACTTGCTATTAGCTGTCAATTTTCACTATTTTAAATAATGAAAATATTATCAACACCCTACGAAACACAGGAAAACTTTCTACACTTTTCATTGTTGCAAATTTTTTTCTATGGTATGTTTCTTTGAATTGTGCAAAAAATTGACGGTCTTCCTTTCCAACGGTTAACTCAAGGGATTCGATTTTCTTTTACGCTAGGTGAGACCGAGAGCTCAATTGAGGTGAAGCCTCAGTTGTCGTTGGTGGTAGAGGAAAGGCTTTTAGTGGGCCAATGAACGGTGAATCTTATGGGATTAAAGATTGAGAAAGCTTTTTCGACATATGGAGATCTTATTGAGTTATGCAACAGTTAGATTTTGTATAAACTGGTATTACTTAACGGTTGGTCCCGCTTTCTACACTACTTATTTATCTTCATTTCAAACATGACATGGGTCCATGACAAATGCGAAAAGTAAGCTTCGTTGGCCGCTGGGGAGAGGGGAGGGGGAGCGAACGACATACCGTTGAGAATATAACTACCATACCTTTGACCCAACGACGTACGAGGAGGAGAAAACAACACGGAGACAAAACAGGTCAAGCCAAGCGGTTCGTTTCGACAAAGCGGACCAAGATTTCGAAAGCGGGTGGTTTTGACAGTTTGAACTTCCAAACCCGACCCAAAGGAAGCTTCGGATCTCATATTATTCCGATTCGCGATTCTGTATAAAGCACCAGCCGGCTCAGCCCTCATAGGAAATCTCGTTTATTTTCTTCAGGTACATTTTTTTTAATCTCCTTCATTTTCCAATTGTTTATCTGCCCGGTTTAGCACATTTTAATTGTACGTTTGCCTCTCTGCTGATGCTGCTTCTTTGCTTTTTTTGTGTTGCATTTTCTGGGATTTATCTGTATCTGAGAAATTGTGACAGATTTTTGTATTTAAATCTTTTGATTTGATGGGTTAGGCGATGATTTTCTTCTTTTTTTTCTTGGTTTTTCGATAGCTTTCTTTGTTCCTAATCAGTATTAGTTTCAAAATTATGTAAGTTAATGGATGTGGTCAGATCTTAATCAAATTAGACAAAAAGCATGAAGCACGAATTGGGTTCATACTGTTTGTGCATCTCAATTTCTCTGTAGTGTATGGTGTGCTTTCGATTTAGTATTCAAGTTTTTGTATCAATGAGTAGTGACTTTTTCCTTGTGGAATTGTGGAATGCAGAAGTGCAAATCCTGCCCGAAAGACTTTGGAGGATATCGAGGAAACGGGGAGAGTGGCGTATGGCGTAAATGGCCTCGGAGAGGGAAAGTTTCGACCTTTCAGGACCATTGCACCTAACTTCCATTGACTGGTAAGATCGTTGCACCTAAACCCTTAAACTCTAAACGACTGCACCTAGCGTATGGTGTAAATGAATCTGATATTCGTTTCTATCTTTACGAAAATGGTATGGAGCATGTTTTTAATGGATTTGTATCTTAAGATGATAACATAGCTACATGAAGATGGATTGTGTAGAGCTAGTTCCTTGTTATTTGGAGTGAGATGTTTACTAGATTATGTAATCATCGATCATACTCTCATAATTTCGATTATCGCTGAAGGCGTTCTGTTTCCAACATTAGGGCAATCCGCTTCCAAATTGTCGACATGAATTAGTTGCATCCTTGTTTGAGCCATCCGAACACCTCGACTTTTATCAAAGTGAAAAGCTAGTATAGATGAAGATGTGAATTTTAGTCCTTATGTTATGGTTATCTCAATGTCAATTACTGACTACAAGAAGTTCAATATACTGGCTTGTGTGTTCTTGGTTGAGATCGGTACTTAATGTATTCTTTTATATCGCACGTAGTCTATCTGCACAATTTATGTAACTTGCGTTGGCACTCAGACACACGATTATGTCATATTAATATTATTCACATTTCCATGTAGTATGTAAGATCTGGAAGTTGCTTTCTATCTTACACAAGAAGCCTCCAATTGTACAAAGTTCGTGCATGAAACTTAAAATGATTGTGTACCTGTCTATATGTTATCAAGGTTGGTCATGATGAAAATTGCTTCTATCTAGAATTCCACTGCCTCCAGTACTATCTCTTAGAAGCTACCTTTTCCTTCTCTTTGAATTTGAAATATGGTATGGGATTTAAAATATGTGTTATCCTATGCAGGCAGAACACTCAGCATCAAAGATCTGTTGCTGCCTGTTTGGTTCAGGGTGTCTATGTTCTTGAACGGGACCGCCAAGAGGAAAGAGAAGGGCCCCAAGCCCTCGCTCCTCCTTGGTGGGAGTTCTTCCATTTTAAGCTGCTCCGTAAGCTTGTGGATGATGTTGGTTTCTCTATCTTTGGTGCCTTATACGAATTTAAACCTCCACCGTCTCTTTGTAACCGTCCATCGGAAGGAAGCCCTTGTTATGTAATTGCCTTCCGAGGCACCTTAACAAAGTATGACTCAGTCTCACGAGATCTTGAGTTGGATGTTGAGGTGATCCGAAATGGACTTCACAGGACATCTCGCTTCGAGATTGCTATGCAAGCTGTCCGAAATATGGTTGCTACATCAGGTCCTTCAAATGTTTGGTTAGCTGGCCACTCCCTGGGGTCAGCCATGGCAATGCTTGCTGGAAAAACTATGGCTAGCTCTGGCAATTATCTCGAATCTTTTCTCTTCAATCCGCCATTTGTGTCGGCCCCAATAGAGAGGATTCAGGATACGAGAGTGAAGCATGGGCTTCGGTTTGCAGGCAGTGTGATTACTGCTGGACTCGCTCTTGCTATGAAGGCTAAACAGCAGCAGCAGCAACAACAACAACAACAACAACAACATAGAAGTAAACCAGAAGACGAACCATTCACTACTATGGCTGCATGGCTCCCAGGTCTATTTGTCAATCCAGCTGATGACATATGCTCTGAATATATAGGGTATTTCGAACATAGGAAAAAGATGGAGGACATTGGAGCAGGAGCCATTGAGCGGTTAGCAACCCAGAACTCTCTGGGGGGTCTACTAATGCAAGCAATGGGAAAGCAGGCAGCACCTGAGCCGCCATTGCACCTCATTCCTTCTGCAAAGCTGACTGTTAATTTAACCCCTTCAAGGGATCTGAAAGAAGCCCATGGAATTCATCAGTGGTGGAGAGACGACCTGCAATTGCTTTCTGAGGTCCACAGATACAAATAGCGTTTCGGTATTATGGTGAGCAGTAAAGCATCAGCCTCCAAGCTTGTTTACATCAACCAATAGTTTGGAAAGAACACAGCAAAGAAATGAGGAAGAAGAGCAATTGGAGATTGAAGAGTTCTCTATACAAGGGGTATCCTACATTACTCAGATGTGAAGCGGTTTACTGAACTTTTCAACAATCGGAGTAAGTTGAAATGATACTGATCTCATATAAGTTGTTTATTCATTTTCCTTAACTGCACCGTGACGGATATTGATGGTTACTAAAATGCCTTTGTTCTAGTGCATCATGGTAAACGTGAAAGTTTGCATTCGTGATTCGTTGTTCTAGAGTGAGTTAGTATACCACTTCTCGAAAGGATCCAATTCCTCCGAAATGAAGGGTACAATTCTTTATATAGTATGGACACATAAGTACTTTGTAATCGAAAGTGCAACTCCTATTGGGACCCTCCGTCGTGTCGATGGCTTCTCAGTTTTCCGGACACAAACACATCCCTTTTACCGGTTGGGACCCTCCGTCGTGGCGATGGCTTCTCTGTTAACCGGACACAAAGTGACATGTGAGTGACAAGGCAGATAATTACGTACAAACTTTCCTTTTTACTGTTTTTTACCGCGACAGTGTGCAACAAACAAGGAAATAGTGAAAAAAGCAATCTCGAATCTCAATGCCATGACCAACTGGGCATCGTTGGAGTCCTGTCTACTGTTTGGCTCTCCATTGAACTCTGCCAATTTGTTGTTTGGTTTTCCAACAATACTTGGTTACTAAAAAATGAATAGGAACTCTTATTTAAAACTCTTAGTATTTTAATCACATAGTTTTATGTTTATGATCAGAACTGCTTATACTATGAATCATACTGTAAAGATCATCTCTGCAAAAAATAAATTAAAATTAAGGTCGTTTAGTCATCAAACTATTTAAAAACAAATAAACGATATTGGTAAAAGCATTAGATTGTAGCAAATACATAGATAGTTCGTAATGCTTTTACCAATATCGTTTATTTGTTTTTAAATAGTTTGATGATTAAACGACTTTAATTTTAATTAGTTTTTTGCAAAGGTGATCTTTACAGGGTAATTTATAATATTAACGGTTCTGATTATAAACACGAAATTCTATAAATTGACAACAAACAATTTTGAGAAATTTTGAATAGGAGTTTCTACTCATATTTTGAGTAGCCAAATCTTGTTTTTCGCTCTCTTTAGTTACATCAGTGATGAATTCACACTTCGCACCCTACTACATAATTATAAAAGACAAGTGTTTACTGAATTACTATTTCCGCGTAATACAATACATTGTGACAGTATTTTAAATAAATTAAATGTTATTATGTAACAGAATTATTAGGCACAAATGAGATTCTTTACTTGGTGATTGGGAGTCGGGACCTTGGAGTTGGGACCCATAACCCAAAATCTCTGCCTTAAACCCCCCAAATAATTAATTAATTGGGCAGATTTATTTTATTTACCATGGTCTAAAAATCTGATCAGCTAAACATTTCCACCGGGGAATATCGTAGGATCAAACTTTACTTAAACACTAATTAATCCATCTCTCAATTCTCAAGTCTCCACATTCATTAAACCCAATGATAAAATGTCAAAAGCAAAAAGTTGAAACCTTTAGCTCTTTCGGTCCTCATTCGAGATTAGTCACGCCCTTCAGATATCGAATACTTCAGACTTCGGCAAAAATATCAAAATAAAAAAAATAAATAAAGCTATGAACCACACCTTCCACTGTTCCCTCCTTCCCCTTTATTCAACTTAATTAAAACCGTTATTGTACCGTTGCAGTTCAGTAATCATTGTTGTATAAAAGAGAAATTTGTACATGTTAAATTGCTAATACATTATTATTATTAGATTAGAACGCTAACGCTATGTAAACAGAACACCGTTCTATTTAAGTTGCTTCTCAAGATTCTCTCTCTTATTTTCATCTTTTTCTCTTTCCTCTTCTCCTCGTACTTTATATTTTGTTTTATTATTTTTATAAAAAATTAATATAAAAAGTTAATGTGTTTTAATTGTAACCGGTCATAAATAGAGATTAGGGGGTTCTCTCTTTCTTCTTCTTTGGGACTGGGTTGCTGAAGAATCAAGAGCACAAAACCAATCATAATTGAACATGTGTTCAAATTGTTGATTTTTTAATCACAACTAGCTGTGATTGGTGAACAGCAAGGGTGCTGCTGATTCTTTCAGCAGCCAAGTTCTATCCTTTGAGCTTATCCTCCGAACTTGGCTTATTTGCCCTCCCACTTCACATACATCCTAATCCCCTTCTATTTGTGTGATCACGGTTAAATCACATCAACATTTTATATTCTTATTGTTTTTTATCTTATTATTTCTATAAAAAAAATTAATATAAAATATTAACGTAACTTAACTATGTTTGCACAAAATAGGAGAAGATGAGAGGGTATTGAAAGTGGAAGGGCAGAGAACCCGAATCCTTATCCTCCCATCACTGCCAAACCCCAATCATCCCTACCTACTACTAGTAGCCTAGTACGCTTTCTGCTACCCAAAGGCTTCAACTTTATGAATTAAACCACCTAGCCTAATTAATTAAGGATTAAAGAACCCTAAATTCTTCCCCAAATCAAAAACCATTCAACCAACCCAGATGCATCAGACTTCCACTTAAATTATTTGTCAAAAAATTACTATTTTTTTTTTTTCATTTCCCTTGATGAAACGTGTTAACAAATTGGACACCCAAAGTTACCAATTTTGCCAAAATCTACAAAAAGCTACTCTCTCTAATTTCACACTCACCAAATGTTAAAAAATAATAATAATAAAATTAACAGCTAACAGTGAAAACCCAGTACAGATCCATCACTCACAGCAATGGAAACTTCACACTCAGATTTTGCCTCCACATGGTGGGTGAAAAAGTGCATGACGCGAACCCGACCTGCCATCTCCAACCGCGACTCAATCTGCATTGTGGGCCCGCTGGGTCCGGCGCCGGTGCCGCTCAACCCGCTGAACCCATCTCCGAAAGTGGGCCCCATTGGGTTCTGGACCATCCCGGAAGCCCGATTGGGATCGGAGACCGGGAACGACTGGACGGCGAAGTTGGCGGCCATGAACTGGGTCTGACGCGCTTCGATCTTGCCGGCGGGTATGAACATGAACCCGACTTGGCTGCCGGAGTAGAAGAGCTGGAGGGTGCTGTCGTAGTGGTTGAAGGGTGCCCGGTTGGGATTGCGGATGGAGACGTATTGGGCGAAGGTGAAGCTGACGGTGGAGTTTTGGGTGGAGAAGGAAGGGAGCTGGACGGCGGAGACGGAGATTTTGGGGTCTTTGGGTTTGAAGACGGTGAAGTAGACGATGAGGATGACGATGACGACGAAGATTAGGAAGATGGTGGCAACGATGCAGGAGGCGAGGTTCGTGCGGCCGGACGGCGGCGGTTTGGGCCGCTGAGGCCGCTGAGGCTTGCTCATGGTTGATTAATTGAGCTTAATTGTGGAATTAAGAGAAGCGGTGGAATAGTGGGATCGTTGTGTGAAAGAGAGAGAGAAAGAGAGAGGATTTAGGGGAGATTTTGGAGGTGGGATTGGGAGTAAATATTGTCGTCTTCACAGTCGGGACAAAAGTGTGAAATTGTGTGTGTGAGAGAGAGACACTTTGTCTTTCTCTTTTATTTATTTTTATTTATTTTATATAATTAATTAATTTTTTAAATTTGGAGTGTAATATATTTTTTTTAAAATTTAAATTCACCTCATCGGATCAAATTAACCTGATCGTTAATTTAAATTCACAATTTTGTCGCGAAAATACTTTACGTTGTTAGAGTGTTGGATTTGAGAAACATTTCTTTGAACTTGAATCCTCTATATTGTTTGGTTCCATTTTTATATTTGATAAATTTAAGATGAATGGTGAATGTAACACTCCACACATTGTAACAAAAAATGTTATGAATCTTCTTTCACTTTTGTTTAGTTCACATCTCCAATAGCATTTAGCTTAGAGAGAATTTTTGGCAGGAGTGTCATATTGTCGAGCATGTAAGACAAGTTAACAAGACGTTGTTATGTCAGCATTAATAGAGTTAAGATAACCAAAAATCCAAAGAAATTTGAGCCACAACAATTTTTGAGTTAGTTTCATGTTAAATTAGCCAAAGTGAAGTAAAACAAGCATAGGCTAGTGATCCTTTACTACAATAGTGGAAAAGTGTTGCGTCTTTGCATGACGGAATGGATTCAAACTCTGTCAATACTATTCTAACAAAATATATTGTGACAATAAAAAAAAAAAAGTAAAAACAAGCGGGGACAAAGGAAAGAGGGAGACATTTAATATTTTCTTTTTTGGGGGTGGTGAATAGTGGGATTTTGCTATTTGTATGGTTGTAGGCTTTGATCCCTTAGAAATTATAATAATTTTTTATCGTTAAATAAAATTTCTAAGATCTGAATTACTTGATCTGATAACCTTGATGAAAGAGATTCGAAAAAAATCTCTTCTCTGATGCATAGACTTTGGTCCATAACTTGAAGGTTTGAAGGACTAAAGGGAAGGGTGGGCCCAACAAAGAAAAGTTAGGAAAGTGGGCGTCTGACAAGTTTGTACAAGCAATGTCCAATTTTACAGCATGCCGATAGGTTTAACTTTACATTTTTTTTCTTACAAGTTGGGATGTTATATCCATGTAAGTTTAACTATCGCGGTATGATCTAGCAGTTGAGGATAAATTCTGGACTTGTACTTTAAACAGCACGTTCTAGTTTCAATTTTGAATAAATCATACGATGATAATTGAGAGGAGGCTAAAATACCTTTGTAAATTTTTTCTGTCCCCAAAAAGGTGGACTACAAAAAACTTATATCTTATAGCTTTGTTACACTTTGAATCCTGGTTATATTTTTGCCAAAACGGAAGGTGTTATTAATGCAGATGAGTAATAGCCTCAGCAGCGCAACGGTCAAGAGCATTTGTTCCTCCATCTGAAGTTTTGAATTTCTTCAAATGGTTAAGAGCGTTTATTCTTATATCAACAATATTGTTTTCTAATTCACTCAAATATGTCTGTATTAAGAATAAACAACTCTTATTTTAGTAATGAATGGAAAACACAAATTTATGGGGTTTATTTGAGTAATGTTAGACAGACTAATTTTTTTGGACCAAATTTATAAATAATGTGATGTGTCACTAATGAAAAAATAAAGACTTTAATCAATATTTAAGTAATAATTCAATCATTAATAATCACGTTATACGGTTTACAAAATTCAGTCTAAATAGCGGTCTCCTAACATTAGCCTAAAAGTTGTGGACAAAAGGGGTGGAAGGGTTTAGAATCTTAATTTGACGTTGATAATCTCTTGCAATGGGGCCTACCTAAACCCTATTTTTGGAGATTATGTTCCCTCAAGTTAGGTATGCTAATCTTTCACTAATTAAAAGATTGAAAATGCTGAGGAATTGAGTTCATATCAATCATATTCAGCAAGTAGAAGTTACATCAAATTCGATGCTGCACCTTCTATTTGACATAATATTCTTGTTGTAATTTACTTGTGGGGTAAAAAAAAGGAAATGGATTCTCTCCTAAGCATTTGCTCAGGATCCTACTGACCCACATACAAGGACCGTTGGATGAAAATCTAACGGCTACAAACAAGGAGGTCCCTTTAAAGTTATAATAATTGTAACCGTTGAATTTTCATCCAACAGCCCTTGTGTGTGGGTCAGTAGGATCCTGAGCATCTGCAAATGCTCATGAGAGAATCCATTTCCGAAAAAAAATAGATGAAGGAATTCAAAATGACTTTATTCAAAAGCACTTTTCCCACACTTTTTTTCTGGGGCTCATATAGTGCCAAAGGAGATGGTTTCAATTTTCCTTACAGCGGAAAACTCACATGGGTTTTGGCAGAGAACCAACCAGTAACTATCATTCTCCAGTTAATCATTGAAGGGCAGAATTGAAGCAATATTGAGTTTAGAGTCTGGAGAAAAACTTGTGCATCGAAACTGGACCACGGCTTTCTCACTTAATGGAAACCCCTCGTATTGTAAGCGTTACACCCGACTCCACTAATCCCACTGGGAGTCAAGCAGTCCTATCGAAATTTCTCTCATTAGTTTGAGCCCATGGAGGATGGTAATCATAGGTGAGAAGATACCATGTCTTCTGGCTTAATTCCTTAAGAGGAACAATGCCAGTATAGAAACTAATGGAATTTAGAAGAAAAGTTACCAACTTCCTAATTTCTGAACAAACTGGAGTCTCTTGTTTAAAAACCTGCATCAAACAATCTAAATCGCGCATCGACAAGAAATTAGCAACTATCAACATGTCAATGAAGAGGGGTATATATGAATGTACACAGCTAAACCTGCTGTACCTGAGAATCCTCCGTCGAGGTATCCATCAAACCGAAGCAGAATTTACCACAATACAGTTCAAGAAATTTCAGAGTGCTTTCAACCTCTGCTGTTTTCATGTATAAAACACAAGAGTTACAACATCTAAAACACAAGTGCTTCCAGTTCAGAACTTACCCTATTTGCGAGAAACGCTTCAACTCTCGGTTTGGTGATAAAGATGTGTATATACACCACATTTCAAAATCCTATATCATCAAGTGATGTAGTACAATCCTGTGTAATCCATAAATAGGAATAGATCTTATTCATGACCATCTTAAATAACAGTTGACATAAGTCTTTGTATTATCTCCGTCAGTTGACAGAAATGAAAGCGAAACTTTCAGGCTTATTATACGAAACTACATAAGCCATCCACATTTCATACAACCTTCCAGTCCATCCAAAAATGGACTGGTCATTCATTCATTACATACATATATGTACCTATAATATAGAAATTTACTTTGTAAGCTTGTCGAGCTGGGAATCCATGATCTCGGAGATGACTTCAAGAAATGCAGCTTCACTCATGCCCGGGAGCAAGGAATCCTGAGCTTCACGCACTATCCCCTCAATCACTGACTCTTTGTTTATGTTTTCTCTGCACATGAGGCTCCCAATGGCAAAAGGGGTGAGACCTCTCTTTACCCCTTTTTTCAGAAGCATGGTGGAGATACGGAGCGTGCGGGCACACTCAATTGGAATGTCCCACCCGTAAAATTTCAAAAGTGCAATATCTTGTTCAGCATCCAAAGAATTTATGTACTCAATGGTGTCAGGAGAATAAGCCTGGCGAGCTTGTGGCCAATAAAGCCAATCGAAAGTGCAATCTTCAAACTGCAGAGACAGCGAAGAACAAAGTTTACTAATAATTAAACCAATTATATATGTGAAAATCTAGTGAAAGAAAAAAAACATGTGTATGGAAATCATTCTAGCAGGTAAAGAAAAAACATCGAATCACAACAAAGTTCACATTAACACATACTACTACAACTAAATAGATATGAGATTGCAGGAACCAAAAAACCACCCTAATTTAAGTTGAAAAACTCAATTACGCATTAGACAATCTTTCCCAACCTAAACACTAGCTATTGTTAGTCGAAAGTGAACCCTACTTTTGGCACACCTAGATTGCATTGCATCCACATGGAGATTGAGTGAACCTCACTGCCCATCTACGAAATTCCACTGTTAAAGTTTCATGATTTGCACAAAATTATGAAAGGAAAGAGATGGCGAAAACAAAGATGCAAGCATTTAAAAATATCACTAAGATGGGAAAGCAAGAAAGCAAAGAACAGACACTTACATTCTCTGGAAGGCAGTACCCATGGTCAATAGGAATGAGCAGTATCTTACCATCTTCCCCTTTTCTAAACAAAATATTGCCAGCATGCCTGTCTGCATTTGCCATTCTTAAATCAAAAACACTAATCTTGTGCACCTCCTCTACTGGGAAACGACTAGGACCCATGTCCTCACAACTTCCATCATTCTTCATGTACACTTGCAATGATCCCATCTTAACATTCTTTGATGAGCAATCATACCCCTGCGGATGATTAAAACTTTTATGCAAGCACCTAACCAAAATGGTCGGAGGCACCCCAGCAAAGCCAATGGTCTCGTTTGATAAATTGCGAGGCCCGCTCTTGGGATGATCCAACAAGTATGCTGCCACTTCCCTCACTGCTCCTTCTCCTACCCTTGTTCCCCTTTTCAAACCTTCACCATCTGGGGATGCGGGCAAGCCATGGGGATTGTTCACTGCATTAGGCTCCTCATCCACAGGCTTGAAAACAGAAATAAACTCCTGGAAGGAATCTTGCATGAAATAAGTTCCTCCAGTGCCTTCGGATGACCTAATAGGTTGATTGCCCTTCTTCAAACCATCAAATGTGGAATTAAGCATGTCCCATACATAAGAGGGAAGCTTAACCTTGGGATTCACAACAATTGGTTCCAACAAGAAATCTGGATTGAATAAAGGTAACTGGCATGTTACAAATGGAACCCTCTCGGATCGGTGGTTGGCCACTCCATTGACCTCTTCTCTGCATTCATCCGAAAGCGGTGCCACAACTGAAAGCTCCAAATCTTTCTCATAATGCTTAGCCCTAACCTCGGCAGATTTCTGAACCACCAAGTGAATGACATCATCAGTGTTCTTACAAATATCATCAATGAGCCTCTGGTCATCAAGCTTTTCACCATTGCAGAAAAGCTCCTGATCCTCGGGATCATAAGCCTTCCCCTTCTTCAAAACCCGTTGCTTGAGGTACCCGACATTTCGATGTCTATCTACATGGAAATCAAATTCCTTCCCACCAATGGTCCTAACAGTGATATGCAAAAGATCAGAAAGCCTAAGAACCAAATGCAACACATTCTCACCAGTGATGCCATAGTCCTTAACGAGAGAGTCGTTCCGGGCCAATTCCCTGCCTTCGAAAACAAGCTTCTGCTTCTTCACCACGAACCCTTTGCACGTTTGGATCCTTAGCTTCACCGAAGCAATGGAATCGGAGTCCAAAACATGCATAGGGGTCACGGAGCCAGCAACCCTGAGATACAACATGATTGATTCACTAGAACAATGCCCCTGCTGGCTTTCGAAAACCCCATCAGCAGCAGAAGCAAAATGTCCCGGGCTCAGGGCAACATCAGCAAGAGACATTTTCCAAAGACAAAACTTTTTTGTTCTTCTTTCAAATTCAAACCCCCAAATCAAAAATAAAAACCAGGACCCTCCCTTTTAATTTTTTTTTCACCTGTTGATATCCAAATTCAAGGCCCTTCAAACCCAAGGCCCTTTGATCACATTGATCAAAAACCCAGATGCTAAATTAATTTTAAAACAAGACCCAAAGACCAAAATCTGTACAAACAGAACCAAACCAAACCAAAAGGGAAAAAATCGAAAATCCCCAGAAACAATTGAACTTCGCAAATCCAAAATTCCAAATCCCCGGGATTCAAGAGAAACCCTTTGATTAATAAAACCCAGATCCCTAAATCAAATTAAAAAAAAATAAAAAATTAAAACTCCAACTTGTTCTTGAAAGCTCCCACAGATATTCAATCGATTCAAAATCCAATCACGATGTGAAAGTTGGGGTCTTTAGAAATTAGGACACACAATTGGGAATTCTTCTCTCTAAATCGAAAAATTAATTAGATTAATGCGCGGGTAATCGAAAAACTCTCATAAAAAATAATGGGGGGCAGAGAATTGCAATTTGAGGAGAGAGTGGATTCTCACCTTAAGGGAAAGAATCAAATGAAATGGGCATGGGGTGAGAGCTTAAATTGCATGACCTTCCAGGGGTGGCGATTAATTGCCGGGTAATTCAGCCGAGTTTTTGCATTTTCCCAGAATGGAACGTAATAAAGTCTAAGCTCGAGCGATCTTCTCTCCCGAGTTTTTCTGGGTCCGAAAATTTTGTCGTCGATAAGAGAGAGAGAGTGAAAGACTGAAGAAATGAGGAGAGAGAAAGAAGGGAGGAGAGAGAGAGAGGGCACTGAATTATAGCCGTTGGCTTTTTATAAAGGTTTGACCAGAACGACTATAACGGGAGGTGCTTGCCGGTTTTTTGTGTGTTTGAAAAATCCGAGATACCGACGACGTTAACTATTTTTTTGTAACGGCCGTCTGTTTGTTTGTCTTGTGGGTGGGGGAGCACATTTAGGTGGTAAGTAGGAAATTCCCGGGAAAATGAAAAAAGAGAAGAAATAATTGAGATTATTGCTGTAAAAGATAATAATCAAATGATTATGGATTTTTTTTTTCTTAAGATTGTTCTTGAGATTGACATAACTCCTCAATTCGATCTTTGAAATTTAAAATCGATAGAAGTAGTCCCTGATAATGTAAACCCTCAATCATTTTAGTCTTTCTGTAAAAAAACTTTGTTAAATTAAGGCTATTTTTGTCAAATCAACCCATCTTCTTGAATTAGTGGTTTCTTCAATTTAACGAAGATTGTTTTTTCATAGAATGATGAAAATGATTGACGGTGGACAATCTCAGAACCACTTCTATCAATTTTCTCAGGGATCAAACTAAAGAGTTGTGACAATCTCAATGACCATTCTAACTGAAAAATCAAAATTATGCTAGTTAATCTAAAATATAGAGAAAATCTATTGTTACAAAGCTATGGATGAATCGTTTTCACTGCATTTCGTTTGTTAACCTCGAACATAACTCACATATGTCTGACGTATTATGTTACAAACTTAAGTTTCCGTTTTTCCGTTAAACTTGTTTAATAAGGAGATTGAATAAGTCATGGATTAAGACTTAAAACTTGTTTATAGATAGACAATCTAAGATAGGGTAGCATATAAATTTGAAGACAATCTTGGTAAAAAGGAAGAAGAGTATTATCCAGCTTAGATGAGCATGTAAGCATTGGTTGTAATATCCAAATTTGTTTTCCAGTTTTATGTTTTCTGGATTGATTAATCATTGTAAGATAAACCTGCTTTAGTGTCACAACCCGTCCCGGAAATATACATTATTTTGTTATCGTTGCTGTGAAAAGACGAAAATGCCCTTGAGCGTGGGTGTGTTTGTGTTTTGGGTTAAGAAATTGGGCCAATTATGTTATGTCCAAAATAATTGGAACCAATTGGAACTAAGTTTTTCTTAGTTTGAGATTAGTTGTATTTGGCCCACACACACACATCCACATCCTTTCTCTCTCTCCTTCTATCAAACTCTCTCTCTCTCTGCAAATTGTACGGACGCAGTCCGTTGACCTCTATTCCTTCACAGATCAAGCTTCCAGGATCAACCATTACATTCTTGCAAGAGTACGAACCTAACCATACCCTTAGCTGGTTGAATCATCTTCGAAAAATCCAGCAGCCACGAGGGCTCCGTCGAAGCACAGTAGCACTGATTCGATCGTCGAGGTTTCACGCCATTTTAAGGTTCAGAAAAGTATCTAGTGTCTTTCCTTAGTCATTTAGCATGATTTTGGTTGAAGTTTAACGTGAGAAAACCCCAGAAATCGAATCTCCGAGATGGTCACTATTCATCAACTTTTAAACGGAAGGTTTTCATTGAATTTCAGGACCATAGTGAGCTTTAGAACGTCCTCACGATGCTCGAAATGCAACGTTGAGGTGTTTTGGACATCAGGGAGCAGTAGAACGGAGTTTCACTTTTTAGCCGGATTATCGAGCTTTCTCCGGTGAAATGCCGTGAGTTTTAAGGCTTGAAAATGGTAAGGTTTGGTTCCTTACTTCCTAAGCTTCATTTTGGCTTTTGTTTCATGGAAAATGGTGTAGAAACGAGTAAGAAATCGTCGATTACAGGGTTGCCCAGTTTTTCGGCGCTGGCGAGTTTTCCGGCTTTTGGACGAAGAAGATGATGCGCGTGGGGGGTGTGTGGCACCATGGCCTCCTCGGCACGTGAGGGCGCGTAGGCCTTAGGAAAATTATTTTAAAAATATCTCGACTTCCGCAACGTCGAGTATATGAATATACCACAGTGATCTACTCGACGTTGCGGACGTCGAGTAGATCACTGTGGTATATTCATATACCCAAACTGAGCAATGTATGAGAAGTTATTAGCTAGTTTGGTCTATGTGCTTTAAAATAATGTTTTTATAGTTAATTCACATATAGGTGAGACTTATTCCGAGGACGAACGTATCCATAGGCGACTCGGCGTCTACGACCCGTCGACATACCAGTGAGTGGGCTTTTGTTTTTAGTATATAATTATATACTTGATATATTTCCCAGAAATGTGTTTTAAATGAAAGTATGCTTTGAAATAATATGCCAAATGCCTTTATATTCTGAATATGTATTTAATAGTTGCATATATATATAGTTGTGGTGCTGTGGAGGCATAGGTAAGTTCAGGTAAGTTATGTTTGATTATGTGAACTATGAACGACTTGATCCCTGTTTAGGGTACGTAGGCAGCCTAATGAAATGTTAGGTGCAGGCATACAATATATGACATGAAATAAATGAGATATAAGTTTATTTGAAGAATATAGTAGCTTGATGAACATGTTTGGTTGGATATGAGATGTGACTGAGAAACGATGAGCTCATCAACCTGCACCTTAGGTGATTGCGATTTAGCCAGAGAGAGTTGGCATAGGCCTGTAAATTATGTCACCTCCCGCACCATATGCTCATATTGGATCCAATTAGGTGCATAGTCTTGTCGTACAGACTATTATAGGTGGTTCCGACTCCTAGGTGACTAATGTATTATCGCACAGCTAGTATTGAGAAAGTAGAATTGAGCATAACTGTATCTCACCCAACCTTGTTGTACAGACCCTTTTTAGTGGTTCCGACTTATGTGCAATATATTGCTGTATAGGTCATAATAGTGACTCCGGCTAGATTGGGTTAAGCTATGAATTCAGTCGTACAGACTATTGAGGAGTTCCGGCTAACATGTCATACTTCTATGAAATCATTATTACCTGGATTATTACTTATTATATTTTGGTATGACATACATATGAAAATGATTATGTGAAGCATGAATTGAATGGTTATGATTTCAGATATATATATATATATATATATATATATATATATATATATATATATATATATATGTATGTATATATGCTTACATCTTGATTTTGGGAAAATAATACATGTTTTATAGCGAGAGGTTAGTTATGTTAATAAATGAAATGGTTTTGTAAAGCATTTGTTTTTGCCCACTCACATTTTCTGTTTTGCGCCCCTCCAGGTTTTAAGTAAGATTGTTGTTGGTGGCTAGAGGACGTCGGCAGTTCTGACTCATCCATATAATAGTAGGACATTCCTGTTACTGTATAACTAGTACTTGTCCTACTGGACTGCACCTAGACTTTATGTTCTGACTAGGAGTGTTACTGTTGTACTATACTCCTATCACTTTATGTTTAGAAGTGCACTCTAGTAATCTGGTTTTTAATTGTTCGTATATTTTCTATCTTTATCGTTTCCGCACTGTGCACATGGCTACGTCACTCTTACGTGACGACCAGCATGCCTTGACCTCGGTCAGGGTGTGTCAGTTTGGTATCAGAGCCTAGGTTTAGCAGTCATGTATAATTTTTGAATGTTCTAATCATTGTGATGTTTTATGTCAGAACTATGCCGCCTCATAGAGAGCCCTGTCAACCAGCTGAATCTAGTTTCCTTGATATTGCTCAATTAGGGAAAGCTATAGTTTCTGCCATTCAGACAGCATTCCGTACTCCTCAGAGGACACCTCTTGAGACAGTTCATAATCTGAAATTGACTCACTTCATGGGTAATGAAGGTCATGAGGGGGCAGAAAAATGGCTGAATCATGTAGAGAAGACCTTCCAGGTGATGCAGAGTCAAGGAAATCTTCATCCTAATGGGTGGGTCAAGACGACTACCTGGTTTTTGGGAGAACAACCTGCATCTTGGTGGAGACATGAGTCTTACGAGATGACCTCGGAGGAGATTGTGGATTGGGGAGTGTTTAAGGAGCGATTTCGGAAAAGGTTCATTCCTCCTGCTTATATCGACCTTAAGAAACATGAGTTTACTCATCTGAGGCAAGGAAAGATGTCTGCTAATGAGTATTACATGATGTTTATTGATCTGTCTAGATATGATCCGGAGGTTGCTGCTAATCCGGTAGAGATGCTTCGCTGTTTCAGTTTGGGTACTAAAAAGAAATGGTGTTCTATAACGACATCGACTCACTGTGCCTCTTACCAAGAGTTTTATGAGATTCTACTGAGGATTGAGGCCTTAGAGAACATGCCTAGTGAAAGTGAGGATGAGGAAGGAAAAAATGTGGGTCAGAGACGTGATGACAAAGGAAAAGGGCAAGCATTTCAGGGACCTCGCAAAACTCAAAACTTTAAGATGAGTGGTGGCAGTTCCAGGTCTTCTAGCGGGGGATTGAGTACTAATATGCAGATGAGAGGTGGCAGGTTTACTGGAGGCCCTAGGATCCAGAGGCAGAGAGATTTTGGTGGTTTAGGTGGATCTGGTGCTCTTTTATGCTACAGGTGTAATAATCGGCATTTTGGGGAGTGTAAGAGAGGTAGCCATGGATGTTATACTTGTGGACAGATGGGTCATAGGGTTGCTTAATGCCCTCAGAGTTAGCAGAGATCTCAACAACCTTCATTCCTACCACTTGCACCTACCTAGTATGCTTCAGGATCTAGTGGTTATACTCAGACGGGACGAGAATGTGCCTATCACTACTAGGGCGATACCGCTCCCTACACCTCAGGACAGCAGCAGCAGTACTCTCAGGATCCTCAGTATTAGAGTAGGTATCCTCAGTACCAGGGATGATCTATGTCTTATCAGCCTCACTCAGTCGAAGGATCTCAGTGGTATCAAGGGGGACTGCCCTAGCAGGGAGAGATTGCTGCTAGTAGTGCAGGATCTTCAAGGCAGTCAGGTCAGCAGAGGCAGGGACATGGTGTTCATGCCAACAGAGGTCGTAGTGGACGACAACAGAGTCAGGGGCGTATCCACAACATGTCA